CCATTATCAATCAATCTATAAATATCTAGGAATACTACTGCATATTTATGTTTATGATTGATTATGGCTGTATGTATGTATGTATGTATGTATCTATCTATCTATCTATCTATCTATCTATGTATCTATGTATCTATGTATCTATGTATCTATATATATATATATTTGATACACTATACACAATAATGCACCAAATATCCACAATAATCATGACCCCCAAAAAACGATTGAAAGCCCATTACAAACCCATCAGCAAACAAACGGTAACATCATTATAAGCTAGTTGAAACTCAACGTTTAAACCCAGAAAACCGCACCTTCTGCGCTCCAAAGAGCAACTCCACCAGCTTCAAAGCGCAAGCCATGGCAGTCCCTGGACCCTGGCTGGTGACCTGTCCAACTTGGGATGGGCAAACAAAAACGCAAGTCCCTCGGAAGATGCGAAGATCGGATTTTCCCTTGGAAGTCCTGAGTGCCTTGCAACTTTCCGGTCAACCACAACGTTGGCGTCCCACCATCCAGCGCAAGCTGCGCCAATGACCTTCTTCAACCTACCACAACGCTGACTGCGAAACTCATCTTGGGTGGATCAAACTATAGGATGACAGCCATGGCAAATGATGTGTACTGCATATATATATATCATAGTAACCCAAAAAAACTAGAATAGGTTAAACTATGTCAACCTTACCCATCTATATCATCCTGGTTTTTTTAGAATTGAATTTTCTACCTTTGTTAGCGGTGCTTTTTTGATCATTGAGCCTCCCAGCCTGGCACTCGCCATGTCCCACATGTCCCACATGTCCCACATGTCCCACATGTCCCACATGTCCCACACGTCACACACGTCCCACACGTCCCACACGTCCCACCTGGCACTGGGATAGCTGGTGGCCTTTTCATCGAACTCCAACAACTGATGTGCGGCCAGCAGCTCTGCTGGGCTTTCCCCAACGGCCTCGCAGCTTTTTGGATCAACAAGATCCCAAAGTCCCTTAAGTGACTTGAGTGATCCCAAAATGAATAGATCCATTACTGTAGACTGTAGATCCATCTAGATCCAGATCAAAGTTATGGTTGGTTTTTCTTTTGATATTTGGGGGGATTGGATAACGAAAAACAAAACTTGGTGCCCAATTTTGCGAAACCACCACTGTGACCCACAGCAACAGGTCCCCAGGAGCTATGAAAGTCTCACCGACCCTTTTCCATGGGTTTTCCCATCCAAATTTACCAGCCGGGTTCAAAGAAGGGTGGCCCATTGCCGAAACTTCAGTTGGATCCCATGTCATTCCAATTCTATCCTATTCCAAATCTGGTTGGTGGTTTCACCCCTCTGAAAAATATGACTTCGTCAGTTGGGATGATGACATTCCCAACTGAATGGAAAATAAAACATGTTCCAAACCACCAACCAGCAAATTGTTTGTTGGCTACGTTCTTGGATTTGCTCGTTTGGGGGCCAAAAGTACAACATATTCAAAAAATCGATTCCCCAGTCATGGTGGATTAACCAGTAGGAAAAGACAATTTTTTTCAACTGAGCCCATCCAGGTAAATCCCAATGTTCACTGTTTAAATGCCCATAATATGCCCATATTTCCTCAGTTTTCCCCATTGTCTCCACTATATCCCATAGTTGTCATGGATGTCAATGGTTCCCATGGCGCAGCATGGCGTTTTTTCCCACCAAGACACCACCATGGGCCGCAACTTTTGACGCTGGAGCCGCAGCAGCTCAATCAGCGCAGTGCAATCCGCCAATCTCTCGGAGCCCTGTAAAAGCTGATCATCTCTGCAGCAGTTTGGCCATCTCTGTGACATGTCCGGACATTTCCCGATGTTCAATTTTTTTGGGTAGTTCATGGCTCATGGCTTTTTGATGATTTTGGGGATATGTTCGGACTGATTGCCAATTGCTGCTCAAATCAATCTAAGCTGTATATTTCTTCCACTTTGAATTGAGCTTCCGCCTGTTGAACGAACAAAAAAAGACATGTTTGTCGCAGCTTTCGACATCCTGGTCGAGAATATGTCCCTCTTTCTCCAAAGCTTCAACTTTCATCTGATTGGCACGGCCTGGCTTCTCAAAACCTAGAGTATGATCTTCCAAAATTTGGGTGTGTCTGAAAATGAGGTGCGCCCAAAAAAAATGGTTTCAACCGGGAAAATGCTACCCTGTTCTTGGACAAAGCCATATGGGATGAACATCCAGCTAGACCAGCGTTTCTTCAGTGTGAAAACCAGCACCAGGTTGAACTAAGCACAACTGACCCATACCCAGCACCGCACCCACACCTCCCCACCAGGGCTAGCTATGGCAGCCCACTCAGTTTGGGCACAGCTGTCGAAGAAAACATCAGCCACAACCTCAATGGATGCGGAGCCACCAAAGGAAAAATGGATGAAACTCAGCATCCCCACACGGCCAACTTTAAATCTCCTGGAAAAACCTGTTTGTGGCTACTTCATGTGGTAAACTCAATATGAAGCTATCCCTAGCCGTCCCTAACAGATGCAGGCGGTGGTAAAGAGACATCCCCAATGGGAGCTTGATTGGGTTACCAGATTCCTCCATTCCTCCGCAAATCAACCACTCCAAACCAAGGACCCAGGCCCCCAGGCCAAAAATCATGGCTCAGCCAAGATGCTGTGATGCCATGATTCAAGCGAAGTTCCAGCGTCTTTTCAACACTTGCCAAGGTCACGTCAGCTCCCGCCCTTGTCAAGACATCGGTGAGGCAAGCAACCTTAGCTGTCTCCGTATGATTCATACAAGGTGCCCGATACTTAAGTTGGTTTATAAGTAGGTGAAATATGGTTTATGGTAGATGTATGTGTACTATAGTCTATAGAGTCTATAGTTAATGGGTGTGCCTTATAACTTGCGGGGCACTACCTTCTAGGTACAACATGTGCTGCTCCAACCGTTCCGGAATGCATCAAGTAGCTGGTACTTATGGATGTTCATTCACCCAAATTATGCAGAGGTTTTAATCCCATTAAGTTGCCACAAACCACCATTTTGTTGGTTAAACTACCATTTTCATAGGGTTTGATCCTCCAAATAACACTCATTTCCATAGGGGAAACCCACCACTGAGGCTTTCCAGCCGTGACAGCGTCGCTGCGCGTCGCAGCTGGGACCTTTTTCAAGCCAGCGACCCCTGATGTTAGAAGGTTCAACACCGAACATTGGATGGTTTATAGCAACCAAGATTAAAAAGTAAAAAACACAGAAAAATCCTACTTAAATAGGGACAAATTGTGTGTTTCTATCTTTCTGGGGGGTACTAGAAGCCATGAAAAAGGGATGGTACAAGACTGTGTTCCAAACATGTGGATACAACATGATCAAATCAACACCAATGGCGATCATATCGCTCCCAACATGCGATGTCTCCAGCTTAAACCAACAAACCAAACACAATTGTTTGTTTTCAATGTGTCGCCACTGTGTCGCACTCGTTGGATTTAGAAGTAAACAAAAAAAGGTGCTATATAATTATATGTGCATCTAATCTGTTCGAAGGAAGTTTAGAAGTCAAACTTCCGACAATGCGGACAGATGAAAAGCAGAGCAGGGCAGAGGCAGAGAGAAGAGAAAGATTAGAAGAGAGAAGGTCAGAGAAGAGAAAGAGTCAGAAGAAAGAAGATGCAGATGCGCGAAAAGGTAGGAAAGTCGCGAAACACTGCGTTTTTCCAATGATTTGAGGCTCCGGCTGGTCGAAAAGTAGTCTTGCTAAAGCGGCGGGTGCGGAGCCAGCTGGCCAGATGAGAGATGAAAAATTGCACGCCGCTGTGGCGCGAAGCACATTTCCAAGTCAAAATGTACAAAACACACCATGCTCGGACCACTTTTGGAAGTTGAGATGTCGAAAAAGTGCACGCCGTTGTGGTGCGAAGCACATTTCGAAGTCAAAATGTACAAAACACACCAGGTTCGGACCACTTTTGGAACTTCAGATGTCGAAAAAGTGCACGCCGTTGTGGCGCGAAGCACATTTTGAAGTCAAAATGTACAAAACACCTCAGTGTCGGACCGCTTTTGGAAGTTGAGATGTTGAAAAAGTGCACGCCGTTGTGGCGCTAAGCACATTTCGAAGTCAAAATGTACAAAGCACACCATGTCCGGACCACTTTTGGAGGTTCAGATGTCGAAAAAGTGCACGCCGTTGTGGGGCGAGGCACATTTCGAAGTCAAAATGTTAAAAACAACAGGGGTTCGGACCACTTTTGGAGGTTCAGATGTCGCTTCGCTTCACTACACTACACTACATTGTACTACACTTCACTCCACTACACTACACTACATTGTACTACGCTACACTCCACAACACTACAACTACAACTACACAACTACACAACTACACAACTACACTCCACTACACTCCACTACACTCCACAACACTCCACTACACTCCACTACACTCCACTACACTCCACTACACTACATTACACTACACTACACTACATTACACTACACTACACTACATTACACTACACTACACTCCACTACACTAAACTACATTACACTACACTACACTACCTTCCACTACACTTCACTACATTACACTACACTACACTCCAATACACTACAACTACAACTACAACTACAACTACAACTACAACTACAACTACACTCCGCTACACTAAATTACACTACGCTACACTACATTACACTACACTACATTACACTGAATGACGCTGCACCACAGATAGACAAGTAGACAGATAGACAGATAGACAGATAGACAGATAGATAGATAGATAGATAGAAAGACAGATAGACAGGTAGACAGGTAGACAGCTAGACAGATAGACAGATGAAAGAGAGAGAGAGAGATAGATAGATAGATAGATAGAGAGAGAGATAGATAGATAGATAGATAGATAGATTGATTGATTGATTGATGATTGATTGATTGATTGATTGCTTGCTTGCTTGCTTGATTGATTGATTGATTGATTGATTTGATTAGATGAGACCGATTAGGTTAGATTAGGTTAGATTAGATTAGATAGATAGATAGATACATAGCAGATAGATAGGTAGGTAGGTAGATAGTCAGAGAAAGAGCGAGAAAGAGAGGAGACCTCAAGCACCTTTCGGTCCATCAGTGGATTCGCTCTGCCATCTCTGATTCACAACAACCAATCTCTCCTATAGGTTTCCTATTTTTGAAACTTCCGCCACCGCCTTGTGCGGTACTACTGGTATAATTATATGTACATCTAATATGTATATATATACACATATTATACACATTCATATATACCTACTTCTGTAGATAGCGTACAAGTAGCACAACTGCCAAACACTTGATACGCTCATCAGTCTGCCACGGAATCTGCCTGGGACTGAGGACATGGCCAAGACTCTCGTAGATGTTACGCGGCTTTGCAGGCCTCTCGACACGACTTTTCAGTCTGCAAAAACTTGCTGTTACTGAAACGGACCTTGTAAATCCCCAAAATATATGGAAGACATTGGGTCTCCAACCTTGACAACTCCTTGAAAAGTGCCCTCCAATAGTTCAACAAAAAAAACTACCTTTCCACCTCTCTTTGTGGTTCCGACTGCACCTGAAAATCCAATTGGGCAACACAGCAGCATCCATCCCAAGCCCGCCAAAACTTTGGGCAGGTTGCCGTGAAACATTTTTCTGTCCAGTAGATGTGGGATGGCACCCCGGTACAGTACAACAACCGAATATTAACCAACAATTTTTGCAAAAAATTGGGATGCAACCATCCAACCTCGTACTATGGGGAAATTGTGTCAGATATTTTTGAGCAATGAATCCGAGATGGTTTTGTCCAACAGCGGGGGATTATTTGTCCAAAACCTCCGACAACTGGCCATTCTACAAGCTGCCGAGCCCAGATCCAATGTGGAACAACCCAAGATGGCCTAATGTTGTCCCTAACCAAAGAGCTCGCATCATCAACACATCTTGCGTCTGAAATTGGGAGTAGATAGTTATGTGTGTGTGTATGTATAAATATACAAACATGTATATGTATATGTATATGTAAATATACATATGTATATATATATGTGTGTAAATACATTAAATATATATGTATGTGTATGTATATATATATATACACAAATTAAATGCATATGCAAAACAAATGTGTATGTATGTATATATATATCATATTTCTCCCTTGTCCTCGTTTTCATGGCCCCAACCTGCAGGGTCAGCATCCCATGGGCAAATGCCCTTGTACTTTCCATGAAACCATCTTGGATTTTCCTGACGTTAGGATCAGTTGGTAGGGTTGCCACGTAGATCCTTGAAAAAAAACACATGGAACAATCATATAGTTATAATATAATATATATAAACACATTATAATATAAATCTATCATGCCCCTGTTATTCCAGTGGGATACATGCCCCTGTCATGACCATTCACTATGCACACTAGATCGTTTAGCCCGAAACACCCGGCCACTTTTCGTCTTTTCGCCACAGCAGCAGCCACTTCCGGGCGCTGCGGAGACCAGTTTGAGCCGCGTGGCGAAATTTCAGGATCGGCTGACGCTCTAGATGCCCTACCACCTGAGCTGCCTGAGCTATTGACTCTCTGGCCTTGGTGCCTGCCAACCTTTTATCTAACGTTTTGCCCTATTTTTTCTATGGCGCAGCAGCAAATCCCTTTCTGCACGGGTAGGCGCGTGTGCTTTTCAGCCCGTGCTGCCTCTGTTTTGGAAGGCTGCTCTGTTTCGGATTCGCTGCTTGCATAGCTGTCTCTGGAGGTGCTAGTTCCACATAATTCTAAGTTGGGAAATTAGTACGAATTTGCAAAACCATCCCCATATGAACACCTTAAGACCCGTTAAGAACTTGAGGGTACCCTCGTTCATAATTCCCATGTTTTCCACCTATAGCACGTAAGAACCCCAGGGTAGGTAGGCTGGAAAATTCTTAATCGGTTCTTATCTAACGGTTCCGCTGTACCCCCATTTTGGGAAACCTCCATTTACTAGTGAGGTCGCAGTTGGGATGAAACTATATTCTGTATAGATCTTGAAATGTTGCCACGCCGATCGCTTCAGAAAGCCGTGCAGCTGCACAAGTTCTACACCTACGGAGTGACCTACGGATGGTGTGCCCAACGGATGGAGCTTTCCAGCCAGAGAAACAACATTGACCCTGAACTATGTAACATGATGTAACTATGTTTTTCAAGCACCAAAAACCTCCGGGATGTTTTGAGGGACACACCTAAGAATGTCTATTTTTGAAGCTCAAAATCCTGAAAAGCTCAACTTCGCTGAGATCAGGATCACAAAAAAGCATCCAACACTCAACTGACCCACCATGACCACCACTCAACTCACCTTTTCGAGCGATGTCCAGGGAAGACGTGGAAAGGGATGCGAAGGTCTTCACCAATACACCGCTCCACGGCATTCAGGTTGCTCCAGTCCTGGCGGTCCATTTCTGGGCAAATCTAAAGAACTTGGGATGCTAAGGTCGTATACTACGAATATTTGTTGGGTATCCAACCTATCTGGATATACTTCTTTCTGGTACATGGTTATATAAGTTATATACAGTATACATTGGTAGATGGTATAACATAGTACAAGTATGACTGTATGCCCGATTTGCATAGGTTTGCGGTTTGCAGCATAACTTCTTGATTATTAGCCCCAAATCTCCTGGATATGATGTGAAAGTTTTTGGTTTTCAAAACCCATCATTTTTGGACGTCTACGGTAGGTAATCCCACGCAGTAGGTTAGTAGGTAAGATCGCTCCAGGTATAAGTAGGCTACGTAGGGTTGTAAGTAGGCTACGTAGGGTTCGTGAAAATCGAGTACTAAATTTATCTTATCCTGGAAAAAGGATGAAAAAGGATAAACAGGGGGGTTCACCCGCATCCCGGCATCGCATCAGGCGCGTGTCCTCACGTTTCAGCATGTACTGCAGCATCTTGTCCATGCGATGGGCGGTCCATGGCAACATCAGCACGCCATCATCCAAGATGTACACCTCAGAGGTGAAATGGCCTATTTCTTCTAAAGCTTTGTGTTTTTTTCCTCGGAATCCTCAGGAATTGTTGGCAACCGATTAGTTCGTTGCCATCCAGTCGGTTTGTCCAAGCCACTCGGAAGAGACCCCGGTGGGGATGAAGGCAGCTGATGCTAATACGGATCCCGTCGGATTTCTTACATCAGTGGAACACTTGCCGCAAGTTTCCCAGGTGCTCAGAGTTATTGAGTAGATTTTAATCTATCAAATTATATCAACCCCGGATGAATAAACCCTGTTTGAGTAAAACAGTTATGATTTAAGCTTGGCACCCTGTCTAAACAGGTCCTAACATCTCTCCGGGACAAATCTTTGGACCATGTTGCTGGTGGATTCGCATGGAGGTCGTGATTGTGGTTTCCAATGCTGTCTGCCTGAGCGATTTTCTTCACCGCTTGGTCCTTTCAATCGTAGATCATAAGAATGCTGATTAAATACCAGCAACATCCAGCAACATTATTTCAAGAATAACTCAGAATAACAACAATTAAACCTCCAATCAAGCTGTTGGTACTTTCCGAAACCCAATTTCAACCATTTTTGGGTAGAAGATGCTTCCTGAATCGGAAAAGTGTATAACTTGGGGATGCCCCCAGATCCCAACTGTCTACCAAAGGCTGACCAGGAACCAAACTGGATGTTAGGATATTGTTCTTGGGAGTTCCATCTTAGCTACGAGCCACCCCAGATGTATCAATTTTTCTCAGTGAAGTGCTGCATTCCATATTCTCGCGAGAATAATTGATCAACAAATGCGGCAACCCCCAGAAGCCCGCTGCAAAAAGATAATGATTTGCCAACCTGAGTGATGACATTTAGCATACTGAGGCCACACATGTTGCGATCTTTAGCATTGAATGATGCATTTTGGTCAGCAATTTTGACCCACATCCATCCATGTTTTCCACAGCTCATGGTGGATGGAAACCCGAAACCATTTGAGCCGTCCTCGATATGCTCTTGGGAACATGTTTGGACCTCAAGATCCCGTCCAGAATGGTTCCACAATTTTCGATATGGCGCTTGGCATTTTTGTGCCCCCATGGATCTCACAAAAACTCCTCTTTTAACCATAAATGTCGAGCAAATGATTGGTCCGATTCCCCTTTATGTGTTCCGTGAAGCCGGGATCTCAAAAAATATCATATCCCATATCATCACCCGTACTTTTTTTCCACAATATCATGGTCCCACATTGTCCCACCATGTTTGGTGATTAAATGGCTATTAAATTCCCCAGCCATGTTTCATGGTGACTTTCTAGATCTTGATCTTTGTTCCCGGTGCCTCGTGGTTGATGACCACAAAGTCGCTGTCCAGCTGCAGACCATTGTGTTCACCGGGTCCAGGGGCACAAAATGCTGCACCGCACAGCCCTGGTGATGGTGATCCCAGCAAAAAGGCTAGCTTTCTGGACCCACACATGGCTGGTGTTTTTTTCTTTGATTTACAACTTTTGGAAACCTTAGGAACTTAGAAGCGTTCAATTTTTGTAAGCCTGAAGATGTTTTTCAAGCTAAAGCAACAAAGAAACAAATTGGAACAAAGTGGGACCCCCAAATACTGAGCTGATATATGTATACATGTACATATCCAGCTAAATCATGATGATTCACCAACCTGAAATAGGATCCGGTTCCAGGGGTGGTTCCAGTGGTTCCCCATACTATCCATCATTTACGTCATGAGGTCGCAGTGCAGCCATCAAATAAATCTTATATGTCTAGAACACATAATTGCGTATATAGAATATGGTCATTCATATATATATATACACATATCATTTCAATATATAAATGTATATATGTATGTATCCCTTAAGTGACTCAAACTATTGGTGAGTTCGGAATGGGAGTTGATTGGCTGCACGTGTGGGCGCCTAAGGTGGTCGCAACCACTTCTGCCAGATAGCCTCCCAAGGAATGCCCGGTGACCATCACCTTGCATCCTTGTTGTTGATACATCCTGCGAACTGATGACAGCATAACAAGTGCTCCACGTTTGCCTCATGATTGGGGTCATAGTGTGGCCGAACACTGAGACTCGAAGAAGCACGCTTTGAGATGACATGAAGCGAACATCGGTCCTCACGATTTCTGCGGCAGTCATGACAAAGGCACCGGGGTAATGCCCCATGACCACAGATTTCACGTCGCGGCGAGTATCCTTGCAGCGGTTGTTGCTAGACCGCCAGGAAACCTTCAGTTTCACGTGACCATCATTTCAGTATATTTCAGTAGCCATAAGAATCATAAGATACCCTAGACTCCAAAGAAAGACACATGGGTGTGTCTGAAAATAGTGTACCCCTAAACCCAATGGTTAATGATCATTATCCCTATTAAATGGCTATTTGTTTGGGAATATACCCTATTTTCAGACAAACCCACATCCCAAAAACCATGGCAGCAGCTACCATTCCCAGCCCAGCCCAACAGCCCAAGGCTCGTGGATGTCCTTGGTGCCTCGAATGGCCAGCACGGCCAGGTCGTTCGGGTCGTTCCGGTCACGGCTTTTCAGAAAGACCGTGATCTGGGCTTCCACCTGATGGCTAGGTGGCCGCTTGAAGTTGGAAAAATGGAAATAGGGTTAGACTCTATGTTAGATAATTTGGCAATAAACTTATGGAAAATATCTGAGTCTGATTTCAGAGTGGTTTTGCTAAAACTAAAATAAGGGTAAGGAATGACACAGTTATGACACTGGAAAATACATACTCTGTGCTGCGTTATCTACCTGCTCAATGGGGAGAGGTACTTGCTTTGATTGTGGCAAAAATCAAGGGGCACACTTGAACAGTTCCACAAATACCTACCAATATGTTTCTATCTGGCAATCAGAAAAGTACCAACCATGGTGATTTTTTCCGACACCAATACCATGGTGATTTTTTCCGACACCAATACCTCTCCCGACCTCCTCCTCAGGATCGCGGATCCCACACAAATCCTCAGTATCGTCCCTTCGCATGATCTCGTACATTTCACACCGGACCGTGCTTGGAGGAGTGATGTCTGCTTTAAAAACCTTCAAACGACTAGTATTCACTCAGTTTTTAAGGTAAAACTGGTTTAAAAAATCTCTCTGAGCATGATGAGTGAGTGGGCATTGTTGTCAAGTATTTGTTTCACTGAAATCACTGAAAGTGCATATGTCCAGGAATTTATATATATATATATATTTATAAGGGATGTCTTTCCTTCAAAGAACTGCGAAGGAGTATATATAAAACACTGAAATCATAGCTGGAATTATATATCATCTATATCTATAGACTATACAATCACAGTACAAAATACCTATAGATGCAAATAGATACTGTACACATAATATACACATGTCATGTATATATATATATACACATAGAGTATACATATATATATGAATATATATGAATATTAATGTATATATATATTCACATACTGTATGTATATATATATTATGTTACACATATTTCCATCTATGGCCAACCCCATCAACTCATCCCCGCCACAACTCGAGGCACTGGGCGATAGCCCACCGTCGTCGATGGGGCCGTGCTGTAGCACTCCAAGGCCAGCGTTGCCAAGTGCCACAGGGGCGCCACGGCATCGCAGGGCCTCGGATTTCTATCGATTTTTTTCTCCGTTTATGGATGTGTATGGATGTGACGGAATGTAACGGGATATAGGTAACGGGATATATATATATATAATTATAATTATAATAATAATAACAATAATAATAATAACAATAATAATAACAATAATGACAAAAAAATAAATAATTATTATTATAACATAATAGTACTAATAATTGCAAATAATAACAATAATAATAAATAGCAATATGATATATGACATATGTGATTTCTCAAACCAACAAATAGCAACGATATAATTGGGCTTTGCAGAGAAATGGTGATTTGCTCCCAGTGGCTTTATCATGAGATTATCAATGGTTTGATCCAAAGCATAATTCCAATGACTTGGTTTCCAGTGGGGCTCTCAAATAATCTGGAAGTAGCACCCTGGATTTATCCAGATGTATCCACAACCAAAGAGCTCCAAAAAGCATTCAGCGGCCATTGGTCACATCACTAGAGTGGAACTTTTCCAAAGCTTTCGCAAGGTGAACTTCCACCCCAGCCAGATGATTTACCCGTTGAACCCGGGGAGAATCTCCGCAAACATGGAAAATCCCCATGAACAAAACCTGAAAAAACCAGCCATTTCTTGGGCATTTCCCGTGGATAGCTATTCCAAAACCTCCACCAAGTAGCTGAATTCCCAAGCCGACGACCTGGGCAAAATCCATAGGTTTCGCTGTTCAAATCCCAATGGCTGGTGAATGTTCTGCTTGTCAAAAGCGGACCCATTTCTGCAAGGTGGTGCCCCACACTTAGCTAAGTTGGTTTATGGTTTATGGCTTATGTTAACTATGGTATGTGGTAGATGTAGATATATATATATATATATACTATCTATGGATATTTATGGGGTTTAAACAATCAACATGGAGGTTTCAAGCCATCAGACAATTTTAGTATCAAAACGGAGACTTGAGGATCATGACTTAAGAAACTCCCATTTGTCGCCCCATTTGTCGAAAAACATCCATGGCCAATCTTAGATACCCAAAAAAATCTTGTCTGGTTAGTAGATAATCCCACACCAAAAGACTATTTTGGATTACCCTCTGGTAAACTAACATAACTATGGAAAATCACCATATTTCATGGGAAAAACCACTATTTCTATGGCCATTTTCAATAGCTATGTTAGTTTACCAGAGGGTACCAGCAATTTTGGATTGGGCAGCCCTGGTGACACAGATCATCGTCGTCCGCGAACCGCGCCTCCCGTAGCAGCTCCAGCCGTTCCTCCCGTGCCCGTTCCGTGAGGCGCTGCAGGTGCTGCTGCAGCGATCCACCGCTGCCGTGCGCCGCCACGAAGGCGCCTGACGTAAAAAGTGGGTTTTCCCACGGCAGGAAAAGATGAAGAGTCTATTAATAATTACCTATTAACAATGGTTAATAATAGGATTATAATAGGGTTAATAATAGGGTTCTTAATTATTATAACTATAGTCCTTTTTAGTTTTAGGGTTCCTTTTTAATGGTTGTTATAATTACCTATTAACCATTGGATGAAATAGTGATGACCATCCCCTATGAATGGTTCATAATACCCAGTATTGACCATTGCTCTGTTTTGAAAATATGCATGTTTTTAGAACATGCTTTTATTTTGTGGTATGTCTAAAGAACGTTTGTAGTAAACACAGATGGGGATGGGTCAAAACCCTGGTACCTAGTGAACCCCAAGTCATAGCTGGGATTTATGGATGTTCATCCCCTAAAAATGGTATTAATAGGTATTGACCCATACCCAGATGTTTTAAAGATGCCCAACTGAAAAGAAAGAGCGAAACGATCAGCTTCTTGCCCGCCTGCTACCGCACCAAAGGGACCTGAAACTCTCGCAGCATCCAAGGCTGCCACCGGAGCATCAATGACACCTGCGGCCAACAGGAATGCCTGGAAGAAATACGAAGAAATACGGATCTTCAGTAGGGGTCAAAGTTGGGGAAGGTACTTGGCTCCAATTAAAACCGAATTTGTTCCCACATCTTCCACATGTTCCAATCATTTTTCATCTTCAACATTGCCATATTTGTAAATCCATGCAAATTCCCCGAAAACATGCGGCTCAAAACTGCTCCAAACTCCACCTGAACCCGGCCTCGTACCGCCTGGCTGGGGCCGCCCTCTGCCAACCGAGCCAAACCGCCCGCCGCCGCAGCAATGGCCTGAAAGGTGAGGTGCTGCACCAGTTGGTTGAACTAACAATCAATGAACGCACATGTCTCGAGGATTTCATGTTTGATTTTTTCATGGGATATAGTCTGATAATGTCTGATATAGTTCTTTGACCCATGTACAACAGTAAGTTGGTTGAAGTAGCTTCTAAGCGTTGGCTTTAGAGTCTATATATCGAACTACTTAACGAGGAGGTGAACATAAACCAACATGTTTTATTGGGGGCACCACCTTGTAGGTCTATATATGAAGCAATGGTCATCATATAATGGTATCTAGCATATCAGCTAGTATATCAACAAGTAAATCCAACAGAACTGGGGAAATAGATCGAATGGTATAGGGATAAAACCCTTCAGTAATTTAACAGTTCGCTATGGAAGCCATGGCCCATTTGGTTCGATGGTTTACCTACGTATGAACAATGGTGGCTTTCCATTGCTATGTTAAATCACCAGGGTACAACCTGTAAAAGACAATGTGGAACTGTTTTTGGGGTATAACAGTGAAGATATACATCATGGGATTGATGATTTGGTAGTTTCATAGTTGTTTTGTGTTGATCCCCCCAACAGTTCACAGTTCGACCCGGGTCGAACTGCGAGTTTTAGAGGAAAGAATTGTCTTCCAACCCCCTTTTTTCAGGGCAAGGTCTATGTCAATTGGAGGGAGGATTCATGGGGATACCAGCATAGCTGGGCCGTCTGTTGCACCATTGGGATTGATGGTGCAGATTCTTTTTATTTTGTGGATGGGTGAACATAAATCAATAAAGCGGGGTGGTTCCTCGTTGGAATGGTCATACTATGGGTGATACAGGGTGTGTATATATATATACACACACACGCAGTATATTCTTATTCCATATATATATATATATACACCATATATACATATATACCATATATACATATATACCATATATACATATATACCATATATATATACACAGTATATTTAGAATTCTACTGTATGTTGTAATAGTTTAACAATAAAGCTGTCTGCTTGGTAGTCGAATCACCAGGATTCAACCATCCCTGGTGGGCCACGCCTCCACTTTGATTATGAATAATCCCTGGTGGTGCACTTAAAGCCCTTTAACACACATATATATATATATATGGGATATGATAACACTTAAGCCCTTTAACACATTCCTATATGGATTATATTTGTGGAATGATAACCCATATATGGTTTTAAATAGGCTTATCATTCCACCAATGGGGGTTGACTGACTGACTTATAACTGGTGAAGGGCCATAACTGTCGGAATGTCAAAATATACATATTCTATACGTCTGATGATTGTTCTATGGGGGGCCGCGTCCAAACCGCCCAATCAACCCCCAAAAAGGTGATCTACCGTGGAGTTGAAACCTGGAATTGAAACCTTGTGACAACACAGCCCTGGTACTACTTCAAACTACATCGACTTCGAATCCTTTCAACAGTGTGCCAACATATATATATATATTACATGAAAAACGCTGTTCGTTTGCAAGTTTATCTTGTCAAGACATGTTATGCACACGTCCTGCTTCTCAAAGCTTATCCCAAGATCTTAATGTTTTTCTATGTTTTTCTTAATCTTGTTGAGAAGGAGTACATTCCTGACCATTTCTGGGGCTTGTTGAAATGTTGAAAAATGATATCCTTCCTTTGCGATGTGGATTGACTGGAGGGGGCAACCGTGCCACGCACAGCCCTCGGCGCATGTCATTCCTTTCCGTCAGAGAAATTTCCGCTTCAAGCACGCGAGTTGATCTCTCAGAGTATTATAGAAACAGGCTTGAGCCACTGTCCCAACCCTTTGATGTGATACACCCCCTGGGCTTTCTTTTTGGTTGAATTTGTTGCAAAATATGGCTGGTTTCGTGGTTTTCTATTTCCGGAACTGGGATTTGCAACTCTTGTACGGCTCTTTGGTTGTCACTGGATCCATTTTGTCAAAGAAACCTTTTCGGGTTTATGCCTTGAGATTTCTTCTTCCAAAATAGGTGGCCAGTTCCGCTTGGCTTGTTTAAAGGCTTTTGGCATTCACCTCAATTCTGGTTGCAAGACAGCGTTGTGGACTATCCTGATTCAAGCTAGCTTGTCTGACCGCACGTCCACTAGGGCTTGGAAACCTGTGTGGAATCTGATTGTGACTTGAATTTCTGGAGGAGTGAGGCGTGCATGTTGTGATGTGCCTGCAAGGCTTTTGTGTGTTTGCAAAACTTCAAAGCCCTGGTTTGTCTGAAAATGGCGTACCCCAAAATTCAGTGGGTAATAATCGTTTGTCCCTCTTGAAATAGGAATTTTGGAGGTATACCCCATTTTTAGACACAGCCAAATATCATATGGAGGTTTCTTAACATACTGGTACATGTTTGCACGATTTGGGGCTGCCCCATTTTTTTTTTCGGACACCTCCATATATATATACCATAGTTATAGTTAAAGTATAGAAATATCTCTTTCTATATGGAGGTATATACCATAGTTATAGTTATAATATAGTTATTTTTTAAAAAAAAAAAACTATAGTACAAACATAGTTATATATACCATAGTTGTAGTTATAATATGATACTTATGTTTGTTGGTTATGCTTATATCTCCCATGAAATCCCAGCCCCTAAAAGATGTGCAGAGATGCCACCGCCGTGGTGGTTGTCACCAAGGACGCTCCCCCGCGCAGGAGTTCGGAGGCTCCGGCCTCGCACACGTCGATCTGGGAGATCTCACAGGAAATTCTTGGGTCACGGAATTCTTGGAGATCTCCCTCTGGTTATGTCAAAATAGCTATTGAAAATGGCCATTTATAGTGGATTTTCCCATTGAAAATGGTGATTTTCCATAGTTATGTTAGTTTACCAGAGGGTAATGGGAATGTTAATGGAATGGAATATTCATGGCATGTTGATTGCATATTAATGGGAAAATGATGATCAACTATGGGATGGAATGTGCATGGAATATGAGTGGAATATTGAGAAATCCCCGAACTAAATGGAGGTTTTAACTGATTGGGAAATCATCGAACTAAATCGGCCATTTTCCAGCAAGCCACGTTTGATTAAAGGAGAGCATATTACAATAGAGAAATATATTACGAAACATATATATATAGTAAGTCAAATCATGGACATCATGAGACATTGTTCCAGATGTGTTCGTATTTCAATTGTAGTGTCATATTATATATATAAGCATATATGTGATGATGATTTCCCATTTTCAGAAGTTACAGTTACAGTATGTATACTAATGAGAATTCCTTACAGTTGATTCCGTTTGATTATTTAACGGTACAATAAGTGTAACAATCCCATCCCCCATTCATATCACACCCCAGAAACCATGGTAAAAAGTAGGGCATGAAACTACATATTTGGAACCATAGCATGCATGCGTTTAATATTGAGATGGGATTGTATCAGTTATAATTGTATAACATAATCCTATTAATCATCAACCAACTAAATGTAAAATCACTTTCTGGAAAGTATACCATTTAGTTCGATGACTTTCCTATTCAAACCTTCATTGGCTATTGCTGGTTTATCTATGGTTGTCCCACAACCGACTTGCAATCACTACCAGGATCATCATATGTTTGATAGTATTGTGGGAGACCCTTTATTTAGGGGGTGAAAACATTCATCATTATTCAGGTGTTAGCGGGCTTCATTAAATAATGACTTCCTTTATTTAGGGGAGAAATCCTTGAACAAATGTTTAGATGGTACTAAAAAAAACAAATTCTTTATCTGGGGTGTCAAAACAAAGAAAAAACACAAAAAAAAACTGAACAAACAACGAAAAACAACTGAAAAGAAAACAGAAAAAAAACAACTCAAAAATCAGTTGGCATACTTTATTAGGCGGAGGGGTTTATTAATAATTTCCGGGAGTTGGCGTACTTTATTCGTGAGGGGTGTATTAACGGGAGGTGAACATTAGATTCTTTACAATGAATACATAAGATGCATCTTAAGTCATAAATTCTTGCAACTATTCTCAAACCCGTAAGGAATGATGAGGCATGATAAGGCCGTGAAAGGGATGTTCTCCCCTCTATACCCCCTTCGTTTGCCCAGCCTGTAGGTCTTCCAATCCATCTTGCATCCTGGGATGCAAAAACCGGTGAAACATACACGACAAATGAGCGTGATCATGCTTGAGGGTCCAACTTAATCACAACAATTTTGCAAGTTTTCCAGGTATCTTCATATTCTCTGTACCCAAGGGTTCCCAATTGATGTTGGATCGGGAAGCTGCACAAGATTGCCCTGGCCAGGGAGTTCTGTTTGGCCTTAGGATGCTTTGTAGCCCTTCTATGAATCATTTTATCTACACTTTGCCGGTCGGATACTTCACTTTGTGAGCTGCGAGTTATACCAAATGTGTATACCCGAGATGTTTCGAATTGGATCATCTCCTCCATCAATCTACAAAAAAAAAATCCATCTGCGATTGTGGCAATCTCATCGGTTTGATCTTCCATAATTGGGAGATCAACAAAGCACCGAAACATTGGAGTTCGAATTGGGATATCAACAGCACTATGGCACTATGAATTGGCACTTAGGAGACATCCCCACTTGGAAAATCATACCCAATGGTTTCAAGTCCTTAGACAATCTACTGGCGTTAATATCTTTGATCCATAGCCTGCATCCCACTTGGTGCAAATCCACTCATTTCCAGTGGTGTTTGTCCCATCTTCAACGGATTGATCTGAGGGGTGTCCTGAAAAACCATACGCCAGTTGTACGTGAAGCATGGTTGTCAAGCATTTTGTCAAGCTGAGAATCCCAAGTGGAAGCTCTCTGATTTGTTTGCATGGGATTGGCCATTTCTTCAACATCGGTCATCATCTGCATGGGCCGATCTTATATAGATATCTTAGATAAACCCTGCATTTTTCCTTACTTTGTCATCTGAAAAATGGCAAAAGATGAAGCTGTATCAAACTACCCATCCATCCAGTGGTGAAAAACCCCTTTAAATTGGACTTTCGCCAGGTCCATTCAATTCCACAAATGTTGGTCATTCAACGAACATTGGATAGCCCGTTCCATCTACTGGTTAGTAATGATTTAACTAGCCATAAACTGGGAGTGATCCCTTATTTTCAGGAACACCCATATCATTGATAAAATCATTTGCGTATCACCAGCGTATCCTTATTGTATCGCCATTCCATCCTCCTTCTATCCCCATCCCTAGCATATCCCCATGTTGTTTATATAGTTGGTTTAAAAGTTTGTTATATATATATATGTATATATATATATAATGTTATATATATATGCTCATGCTGAGTACTTTCCCATATTTGGTCAATTCAACCACATCAGGCCTTCCATTTTTCCGGTGGTTGAAACGTTTCAACTCATCGCAAAAATCGAGGATATGGTAGTAACACATTTTGAAATCACCAACGAGATTGTTCCTAGCTATTCATGTCCATTACATTCTCAAGATTCTATATATATATATTTATTATATGTATTACCATGTTTCCCAGATTCAAATCTGCTATTGTTTGTAGGTACCCTCTGGTTATTTAACATAGCCATGGAAAATCACCACTTTTAATAGGTAAACCATCTATAAATGGGCCATTTTCCATGGCTATGTTAAATAACCAGAGGGTAACCCCGGGCAAATCTCCATGTTTCATCGTTGGATCCCATTGTGCTCACCGCAAGTCACAGGGCGCCATCACTGCGCACACTTCCAACGCCCAGCTTGACCACACCGGCGCTTGCCACACCACCAGCTACCACCGCTTTGGCCTCACAAGAAACGCCGCAAAAAGCGCAGCAAAAAGCTGGGAAATCATGATCGAAAACTGGAAGCTCACCATGAAAAATCCTGAAAGTCACCAAAACTCTGGAGTTCATTCCAATTTGGCCAACAAAATCTGTGGGAATTTGACTGAGGTAACCAACAAAAGCTGGGGATTACATTGGTTTCATATGGTTTAATCAGTTTAATCAAGAAAAAACTGGAACTTCACTTGTTCATCAAAAAGTGTGGAATACACTGATTTCACTAAGGAACGCCGCCCGCAGCCACTGATGCACCAGAACCCATCGCAGCTGCACGCGGATGGATGATCCATGAACGCTGCGCTGATGCTGAGCATTGCTGAAATTTGGCATCATGATCATTCGTTCTGATCGTTAATGTCAACCCTGGATTAATAAACCCCTAGGTTGTTTAATTGGGGGGGTACCACTCAAGTATTGGATTATGACTATTGTACCATGGTTTATTAATCCGGGATTGACATTATATATCATTCTCCCATTGTCAGGAGCATCAGACAATATCAGACATCATCCCATGGATTTTCCATTGCCAGGGATTTGTTTTGGATACCGCTAATCAGTCACATGGCTTGGAAATACCCATTTAGTTCGATGACGCTCCCAGCGAACTACACCTTCATTTATATAGTTCGGGGATTTTCCAGCCAACCCGTTTCTTGAATTTCCTATCATATCACCCTTCAATCCCTTTTTTTGTGCCATTAAACCATCATATGTCTAGATCCTTCAATAAGAAAACTGGATCTGCCATGAAATTTCCAGCTTTTGACGTCCAGCTCCTGGCTGATTGAAAGCTTGCGAGCCGAGCACGTGCGAGCCGAGCCCTGTCGCTGTGTCGAAACATCGCTGGGAAATGGCGCCATGTTTCGGCGGTTTCATGAGGGTGTCATGGAAAAATATGGCTACGAATCGGCATAAATGGAGGTTTGATAAAATAGGATGGACTCTGCATAAACTCACCTTGAACGTGACTAGACATGTTCATCAATCTTGGGGGTGAAATCTGGATTTCCCATTCACTCTCTGACCCGCAGTCTTTTGATGTTTTTTTTGGAGGCTTGGAGAGCAATCTTCAACTCCTCAAGAGCTGCACTGCTCAATCTGGGCTCCTGCCAGTGGCGACACTATGCTCGACAGTTTGGCCGACCAAACACCTGGTTGAAACTCCAAAAATATCTGACTGAAACCACCAACCTGATCATGTAGTTCATCTCCATTTTTTGGTGAAGTTGATTTCCCAAGAACTGCCCCCCCCATTTCCACCAGCCTGGTCGTCTGCGGGCCTTTCTGGCACTGGGAACCTTGAAGACTGGGATCAAACTGATGAAACGGGTAAAGGGAACCCAAGGTTTTCGGCCCCAAAGTATGCTCGAGTTCAATCTTCTGTAATTGTTCCCCTATCATATGATTGGGAAACTCCAAAAAACGTAGCTCCAACTGGTTCCCCACTTTTCCGTCAAAAAATATGGAGGTCTCCCAGTCGTCATCTTTGGTACTTCCCATGGATCCCCCATGGCGAGTTTCGCCAGGCTACAGCAGCCGCCAGTGGCCACCAGGGCCCAGCAACTCCAATAGCTCACCAAGGCGACTGCGCGTTGAGAAGTCTCCAGCTTCCAGGTGAAAGACCTGCCGAAAAAAGGAGATGTTGGACCGTTAAAAAAATGGTCCTGGTGGTGAAAAAGGTTATAGATGTCTATAGTGTATACATATATAAATGTATATGTGTAGTATAGTATTGTATATATATAGTATTTTCAAGCTTTCTCCCAACAGCCCAAATACAAGGGGCGGAAACTGGGTAGATCAAGAGGTAAAATGACAGCTTCCGCCCCTGAGGCTATAATTTACCTATAATTTACCTGGAGCAATCCTGATTATATATGATCTGGAAATTCATGGGCATATAAGCAAAGCCAAAGCCCACAGTCATAGGAGACTGTCGATATAGTGATTCGTTCTTGTGGTGATATAGTCTGATATAACTCCATCATTCTAACCAGGAACTATTCATAGAGATTAGAGTAATTCTCAGTGATATAGGGACTAAGAGAGATGTAACGGGCGAACCTTAATCATCCATTATGTGATATAATAATGGACATATGATGAATGATACCGTATATATATATACACATGTAACCATTGCAGGGTCACTTACTACATGGAATAGTCCTAGGGCACCTGATTCCCCAATATAAATCCGCATAAAAATGGATTGATGATTATCCCTCCCTACGACCCGTAACTGGTGAGCTTTGTGCAGGGGTGATGTACCCCCTAAACGACTGGTGTAAACCAGGAATCGGGGACTTACGATCACCAGGGGAAACTGAACCAGTTACAATTCATGAATCAGAGGTAGTACAAAGCCCGATATAAATTAATGAACACGGATTTGCACCACTGCTCATGTGGCCATAACCCAGTTATAAATGGAGCGGGATATACCCAACCATAAGCCTGTATGGGTTCTTAACACGAATATATGTACATGTAAATATACACATATGCCATGCCCTCCACCAATATCACCCAAATGTGTTGAATCTATGTTTGGGTTTCTGAGATTAGTTTATATTGTTTGGGCACATTGAGAGTCAGTTGGCAGTCGATGAGCGAGATTGTGGAAAGTGTGAGAAGAGCGTCTCCAGCAGCGATTGTCTAAGTCACAGTTTCTGCCTTGTGATATACAAGATGGTTTGTGGACAGTAGGATACGATTTTTTGAAGGGTACGAGTGATAGATGCAGAAAAAACATATTTTGAATAGTATTATATATATATGTATGTATGTCATCAATGTATGTAATGTAATGTAATCTAATCTAATCTAATGTAATGTAATGTTATGTAATGTTATGTAATGTAATGTAATGCTATGTTATGTATGTACGTACATACGTACGTACGTACGTATGTACGTATGTACGTATGTACGGAAGGAAGCACCTTTCCGATTGTCTGACGTCTGCATGCATATTACTATGCATGCACATGACTGTCATATTCTCAGTGTTTGACAGCAGCTGTTTCTCTGGAATAGACTCTTGAGAAGTGTGTGCTAGTTTGTGCAAGACTACGTGTCACCAACACTGCAGATACTACGTTCATGATTTTTTTGGGTGCATATACGGAAGAATGGCTTGTTGAGGTTTGTGTGAAGTTTTGGCTGATCCATTGGTACTCCAGAAAGCCAATCCTCAATGGATTGAGAAACCTTGGAAATGCTATAAACAGGGGTGATGGATAAACGAACTTATATAAAGACTATTATCAATAAACAATGAATCATAAACCAGCTTATCAATATATAGCCTATTATATAGCTATCTTTTCTCAACAGACCTTATAAATAAATTAAATACATATATAGAAGCTTGAAACAATCACTGGACTCTTGAGACCTCCTTAGCCATCTTTTCTACCCATCCTTGGATCCAAGATTCCTGGGGAAGAGAAACAAGATGTCACAAGGGTATCAAGGGGCCATCCGTGTGTACTCAAAAACCCTTCCATCCCGATTCAGGGAATTGTTTTTTCCCAAGTTGACTGATATCTTTGTCCACCAACAGATAGGATTTCTCAATGGAAATGTGAAAACCATGGGGAAAATGGCCAACCGATACATCCGATACATCCCATTGTTTGAAAGCCAGTGCCATTGGCCACGTCAGGTCAGTGTAGCTCCATGATCAACCATGAGATGGGGCCCCCAGAGTGCTTCTCCGCAAATCGCACGTTTTGTCGGTGGTAAACATAGCCTCTATTGTTTGTGGATAGGACGACCATCCTGTAGATAAAGTCCTAAATCTATGGCAAACATCCTGTAGACCATTTTCCATGGAAAAAACTCTGAGAAACACTCAAGAATTCTCCACGTCCAAGTCTAGTTGTCCACTTAAACCCGCTTAAATCCAACTGACACTACTTAAACATCTTAAACGCACTTAAACTATCTTAAACCCCTTTCAAAGCCACTTCATCCCACAGCCATGTCATCTTTTTGGCCAGCTCCAGCCATCTCATCGACTCCCAACCCATGGCATGCCTTGTCGGAGCCTGGCAATTCGATGCTGTCGGAGCTTCCCATCGACTCTAACATAGTGATGCCCTGCAAGGATAAGCCTCGCACGGCGAGCTCGCGCATGGTGTCTTTTTTTCATGGACCCCTGTGACCAAAAAAAAAGGATTGTTATGGATTACTTCGGCACAGCCTTAAGAAAAAAACCTGGTTGGTGAACATGGGCATTTTCAAGCTCGTGGATTCGGTTTTGATGGTGAAAATGTTCAGAACCTGCTCACATGCGGATGGGTTTAAATTGAGGTGAGCCCTCAATGGCAGTAGAACTCAGCAGCGTTACTAAATGGCTGGTTAGTCTTGGCACATCTCTTTCACAATGGGATGGTGAAGACTATGACAATACCCACAATCTCTGTTGTCGACCCATACCCAGATCTATGAACATGGAAGTGGGATTTGTTCCAAACAAAGTTAGATGATTTGTGTTCTCATTGTTGTCGAACTGAGCAGCATTTCTGAATAGCCACTGTATCTCTTATTTTGTTGGATACATCTCATAGCTGACCACCATTGCTGGGGCTATCCGTATGTCACAAAAATAAAAACCACTTGCTTAAAGCTAAAGGTGAAGTCAACTCCATTTCTGGAATGATTCCCTCATCCCGTCTCAAATATTCCGAAACCGAAACCCTGGTGTATTGGATCTATTCATGACTTGGGGTCCCTTTGTGGGTGTTCAATGTGGGCCTGTCCAAAAATTGTTGGAAAATGATGTTCTCAACCACGGGATGCAACGGGGTTCTCATCTACGCCAGGATAATCCAGCTTGGTGAAACTTCCACATCTATCCCCCCAGGGGCAAAGTCCCATCCTCCCATCAAGTGGCTAAGGTGTCGAAGCAAAGGACCCAGCAAAATCATAGAGATGATGCTCAGCACCAGCAGCAGTGGCACTTCGTTGCCCAGCAAGGCCTGTCATGAGGAACTGCCCCCCGAAGATGTACTTCCAAAAATTTGTACCTAGCAGTTGAACATGGCCAGTGATGGCCCATCGAAACATCACCATGACCTACAGGCTCTGATTCGGGTGATGGTCAAGATCTTCCAAGTTTTGGGACTTTGGCCCACTTTTTTTCCGCTGAACCATGGTCAAAAGATGGCATAATATGGAGTATGGTCATCCATCCCGTGGGAATCCTCCAAAAGATGGCTACATAAATGGCTATGAGTCAAAACCCTGGTACCTAGTGAACCCCAAAATAGCTGGTAAATGGATGTTCATCCCATTAAAAATGTATCTATAGGTATTGATCCATACCCAAATCATCATAAATCCCTAGTATTCCCCAGCCCAGGTAACTTGACCATGGCTGCCTCAGGTGGACCCAGAAACTCCCAGTCGCCACCTTCATCACATGCAGATGACCTCCCAGGACAATCCACTGGAAATAGGTCCCTTTCCGTTGCGCGTAGTTCGCCTGCACCACTTGACTTTCGCAAACGGCGCTGGAAAAACAGGGCTGATGGTGCCGGAACACCAAACCGAAAGGAAACAAAACGTGGGCAAGTTGGAGATATAGACGATGTCATACATTAGTGACCTTCTCAAAACCTTTGGTTTGAACAAGCTACACTCTAAGACAACTTTTGGGCTTGTCGAAAAATAGAGTCTACCATAGTTTCCCTCCAAATTCACCGTACTACTCAATCATGATATTCTCAGTATATTCTCCATATTGAATTACCATGACTTCAGGGTACGCCCCCCTTTTTCGACCACGGTTGCTTGGATCTTAAAAAAATCCCCAAATGACGGATCAGCCAATGGGGAAGTAAAGAATCACCTTCAGCAAATCCATTTGTTTTCAGTTTTACTGGTTATATCAATTTATAATAATTAATATACATCCTCAAAAATCTCACGTTTTGCATGTTATTGTTGGTCCTATCCCCCATTTTTGCAGACTCTGCAACAATGCACCAGCTGACTTCGGTGTCCAGACCCCTCCGCACCAGCAACGAAAAGAGCTCCCAGTAAGGTCGCCATGCGTAACACATGGTTGAGGCGATCATCAGCAGCGCATACCTGAGGCACCCTCAGCTTCCCCATAAAAAGTGACCATAAATGGGGAGGTTAAATCCCCTCCAAATCAAGCACACCCATATATCGTAATATGTATGTGTATAATAATGTATATATATATATGTGTATATATATATGTATATATATATATATGTATATATATATGTATATATATATATATGTATATATATATGTATATATATATGTATATATATGTATATGTATATATATATATATATGTATGTATATATATATGTATATACATATATATATGTATGTATGTATGTATGTATGCGTGTGTATATATATATGCATATAGTTGGTTATATATTTCCCATTATTTCATATATTCCCCATTATTTCACCTTGATTGCTGGGTATATCACCATGATCCCATATCACATCATATTCACATCATAGGCTCCCCTTTTTTCGCAAAGTCTTCGCAAAGTTCGCCCGGTGCCCGGTCCCCAGCCGGGGCGCAAAAGGCCCAGGTTGCCGAAGATCACCATGAGATTGAAATAGCTTTGATTCCTGCGGTATCTGAAAAGAAAACTGGAACAGATTGGGTGATACATCTATTATTTATATATACATATTATACACATATATGGATGACTATCATTATTTAATACACCAGTATATGTGTATTGGGATGACTGGAAAATTATTTATGGTGATTGACATCTAGTGATTACATCATGGTGACATTCCATCATTCCATGGTTGGAAATGGAAAACTGACATCTGAATAGCGTTTGAAATTGCAACTACACTATTTATGGTGAATATGACCGGGAAATGGTGATATCACCAGCAATTTCATGTCTGAAAATGGGCTTTTTGACGTGGTATAACCACAATTTCGAATAATTTAAATCGGTTAAACATGAGTGATGATGAACAACTGAGGGTTTCCATAAATGGGGGTACCCCTAAATCATCCACTTTAATGACTTTAATGGGATTTTCCCTTATAAACCATCCATTTTGGGGTACCCCCATTTATGGAAACCCCCAACTGGATTTTGAGATACAAAAATCTCTGGGAATCAACTGACCTCACCAAATCAACCTGTCTAAGAGACGAATCGACCTGCTTGCAGCGCCACATGTCCAGCAATAGAATTTCACCTGTTGTTACCCCAGAAAAAAAAACAAAAAAACGATAAAAAAACACATGCAAAAGATAACCTGGGATAAAATGTCACACACAATTCGTGAAATGTCGCCAAATGCAGCATAAAATCAAATCGTTTAAGATGTTCCCTGATGTTCACAGCAGTCCTTTGTCCGATGATGTTCTCGGTAATGATACCTTAGGTCTTTCGCCGACCCAAAGCAAGTCATAGGTACCCTTTCAACCCAGGGTGTCAAAGTAGGATCACTTTTCGAGACACCGAGCTGCAATAATGATCCATGCGCGGCACGCATTGTCCCAGACGTTTGCTGTGATGACTTCTGGGGGCTTTCCTCAGCTGGATGAGCCTCTTGAAACCCAGGGATCCAACGACATTTTCTATGCCCTTCCCGATCATCTCACAGCTCACTTTGTGTCGGAACCAGGCCACCAGCGATTGCAGGTCTCACACCAGCGCGGCGCAAAGAACAGCCCATCAATGCCATCGATTTGATGTTCACCGATGCTCACCGGAAAGCGGCCATCCTGCCATGCCACAAGGCCACAAGGGAAGGGACGAATGGCTAGCGTAGGTCCAATCAATTGTCCTGTGGTTGAGCTATGTTGATCTTGGATGCCCAACAAGAAGCTTTTCTTTGTCAGCATGAATCATTTTCCCATGGATAAAGTCGCTGCCAACGCCCCAAAAACCAGGGGAAACAAGAATTTGGGGAAATCGGAAGGTAAACTGCATCCATTCCCCTCAGGTGCAAACCTCATTACAATGGCTTGAAGAACCAACTGATCTAACTGATCTACCCTTGGAACAGCCTCCAATTCTCCTGCAAAGCGGTGGATTTGGGGATCCCAAATTTGGGGTCAGACTCTCAGACCAACATGGATATCGTCCTGCATATGACCCCCTATTTTTTGCATTGCCATTGTGTGTTTTTTGTCAAATCGGATGGTAGATATTTTTGGGTCATGAAAAAATGATCATTTTTTATACCCAACGTTGATCCTAGAATGTCATATCGAACTTCAGGTACCAGTTTTTTGTAGCAAAATCACCCTCTTAGAGGGAAACCCTCCTGATAAATCAACCAGGTAATATAACCAGGCCTTGTTAATACAGGGCTGACATTGTACTCATCTCAATTCATCTCAAATAGTCAATCATAGTCATAGATATTGAGCTTCTACCATCCAAACTTATGGGGGTTATTTTTCACCACAGTTCATAATCATTGTTACCCAACCTGTGGCGCCCGTGGTGCCATCTTGTGGCACTTGTGGGCTCCTGGGGCGTTCACGGATTCACGGATTGGTTGCAACCCCTGCCAAAAAGTTGAGGAATCCCGGAAAATATCTGGAAAACCATCATCTAAGTATGCCATTCTGGAAACAGTACTTTCCGGCATCTTTTTTGGGGTGGCAGAAGGGAAACTCTTCAACGGAAACTTGCTAAAAAAATGCGTTTCCTGCAGATTTTCCCACAATTTCAGGCAGTTAAACACCAAATTCTTGGTGATTGATGAGTACTATGCACTGCCTAAACATGTGTCGGGGTATTTGCTTGATGTTTTCATAGAGATCCAGTATGGACCTATCATATCCAATCACCTATCTAAAGGAATACCCACACCAAAGGGCAGAATCCCGTGAAAAATGAACAATCGATGTAAAAAAAATATAACCTCAAAATGATCAGCAAAACCCATTCAGCCAGCGTTTCCGGTACTTGTGTGTGTGTGTGTTGACTCACTTTCTGTCCCCATGGTCGCTGATGAATGGGCACCTCCTGGTTGCTGGAAACAGGACATGATGAAGTTGAACCTCACGGGCGCGTCGTCCCATGGCCATGTGTGGTCTTCAGCTGCTTGTCAAAGTTCGAGACATTCTCAAGTGAAGGTGCCAGTTAAATTTCCATTCCATGCTTTGCTTTGCCAGGCTGCATAAATTGCAGGCTAAACCAAACAGCCAGCAAATAGTGAAGCCAATCTGACTGTCGCCAGCCTGGGTCGGAAACTGTTTTCCGCTGCGGGTTTTGGCCAAGAGGTTCTGCATGACCCTCAATTGACAACTCGAACAAGTTCACACGTCCGAAACCATCATCAAAACAGGAATCATGTGCTCCCACCTTGTTGTGCATAGCAATCCCTCCATGATTCTCGCTGCAGGGAGGGTTTCAAACACTGAGCACCATTCCTGCAGGTCGTTGATGGACAAGTTGGACTTAAACACTGGTGATATCCGCAAAGGAATGGAGCTACCTAGCTACAAAAGGTGTCGAATCCACTATGAGTCGGTTGAAATGATGGTTTCGGCGTTTGGGTCCCCTACAAATTTTCAGCACCGATCCCGCAATTTTCATGAGGTTCAAAGGTAGTTTTGTGTTCCACAATATTTTTGAGTTCCAAAATAGTACCAATTTCATCAACCAAGTTCAACCAAGTAGTCTATATATATATATAAAAATATAATATAATATATATATGTATATGCATCTTTCTTTCAATAACAAGCAGTCAACCAAAGTTTTGGTCACGGCTGCTGATTCACCCTCAACTCATCAAGAGGTCCTGTGTAGAGCGAGGATTTTCGGCAGCGCCAGAAATCCGGCCATCGGAACCAGGGCCACTACCAGACACCTCCGCCACGACGCAAAAACGCAGCACAGAAACGCCGTCTCCGGTGTCAACGAAAGATGCAAAGGAAATGCATTGAGGTGTTTTGCATTCACACTGTGACAAACGATCCATACATAAACACACACTTGTTCAGAACAATCTTTGCGAATTCTGATGTGGAATGCATCTTACGTGCAAAAACACTCCAGTTATACCTGGGAATGGGTCAGTGAAAAGACCCGAGAAATATCGAAAAGTTGCCATCGCCAAAACCATTGCTAGATGCAATAAGTTGGAAGTTGACCCTTCAAATGTTAAATGAGACATGCAGATTGTGACAACAGTGCAGTAAAAATGAGAAACCTTCAAAACAGGAAATGATCGACATTCCGGTTCTGGGTTTAGCCGGTCGCCTAAGGACACCATAGAGAGCTTCGTTGGGCACAGCTCTATGGGCCTTCTGTGCCCCCCTGCTATGACTGACAACTTGACATGAAACAAGAGTTTGAAAAACGCAGAAACCATACGTGTTGAAAAAATGGAAAATGAAAAACCGATGCGCAGCGACGGCAACAGGTAGAAGTTTACATCTCTTCAGATGTTTCACACACACATACATACACCCATATGCATGTATATATATATATATACATATGTAAATGCACACATATACACATTGCACACATACAGATACATAATGATATATATATATATATACATATATATATATAGTTACATATGTATATTTATATTCATATTCAATATGCGAACATCCATCTATATTGTAGATGGTGGCAGGTCGAAGTGCAATAAATTACGGCCCTCTGACCAAAAAACGCATCGTACACAAGTGTGTAATCTTACAACCACATTGACACAATGTCTCAATGTCTGGATCAAGTTATAATGCGCATATACAGAAAAAGTACAAGTTTGCGATATGTAAATATAAATATATATACACATATACACATGCATGCATATTATACATTACATATATATATATATATGTTACTACATCTTGTCTATTCTGTATGTTTATCTTGAATCATATTCTAGATTGCATATCACAAGAATCACAAGCCATAATCATAATAGAGTATAATTTCATTCTATGACTGTGTCTAAAAATGAGAGGTACCAAAAATGGAAAATAAGGTTCTGAATTGTTGGATTTTGGGCGTGCCCAAAATAACCCCGCAAACTCACATGAACAGTGTTCAAAACCCTGTGTCCTCCCTTGCTGCGCACGGTCTCGGGGTGACACCAACCGAAGTGAGCATCACACCGCTTTCAGTGAGATGAAAAAGATGACCAGAAAGTGTGCGGTGTCATGTCAGGTAGTTGTTAGACAATTCACCGATTGTAATATTCTCTAGTTACGAATTTGGTCTGATCAACCCCCTCAAGCTGTTTCAGACCGGCTACGACTGGCTTTACGGCTTTGGTAGTATACCATTTGGTACCACCGCTGCCAATTGGTTGCACGGGCCTTTGGCATCAAGATTGCGTCAACTGGGTGAACTGACACATTAATGGGAGGTAATGAAAGATCCAAACCAAAGTTTAAAGTTGGGTTCATACGTCTCTTACATGGTTGTTTCAAGAAGTATTCGTTTAGAATCTTTCTTACCTCCATTGCATGCGGGAAAGCGGCACGGAAAGTCACTCCCGTGTTGGGAGAATTGACTGAATAACTCCTATGCAATCTGGTTTTCTTGGTACGGATGCCTGGTATGAGCTTCTCACCTGTGATCGATTCAAGCTGCAAGACTGCGGATGCAAATGCTTTTACTTCGTGTCCTAGTGTTGCATGCCTACGTAATTGAGGCAGAATGGAAGGTGATTGATACTCTTTTATTTTTGGGATGACAGGCACCGGTGTGTGTAGAGCTGAAAGGAGTTTAAAACTTATAAGCAATTCTACCCATTGGGTATGGGTGTTCGGCGATGTGTCCCATTGCAGTTGCTTGAGAAAGTCATATAGATACGCTGAATATGTTGCTCCCCATAGCATTCTATGCATGATCTCTTCTCCATGAGCACTGACCAAATGACCTGGATCTAGAACATAGTTTTCTTGGGTGGAATTGGGGAGAAGCTGTGGTTCTGGTTCTTCTTCGCATTGTGATTGTGGAGTCTGATGATTTGCAAACACTGTAGCGGCTGAGTACAAAGTGTCGTAAATCATCCCCCATGTAGTCGCTCGGCGTGCGACTCTCGCATTAATAGAGTTTCTAATTTCTTTAAACATTGGAATTTCATGCATCAGCTGGTTTTTGCGGTGGAGTCTGCTACTTGATTGCCAAGCTGTAAGTATTTTTGTCGTGGATCATCTGCTAGTCTTCATGGCTTTTGATTATTCGATGTGGATTTTTCGGTGCATGTTTTCACCGAACGCGTTTAGGACTCGTCCATTTTAATCCACAGATCGTAGTTGCAGGAATTTATATGTTTTTTCCAGTTTGGATCTTGGGATACTTTTGTATATATGCCAACTGCATAGTCACTGTCTGTGGTTAATGGACATGCCGCCAAGTAGCAAACACATATATCAAGCTAATGTTTCTGCTCTTCCAACATTTTGTCTTCCTGGAATTTTTGACATATGGTGGACCCGGAATGGTCTATGAGATGTTAATTTTGGTCTATCCATTGTTGTCTTTCGACTTGATTTGGGAAATGGTCTATAATTATAGCTAGGATGCATCCATTGCATGCAAAGGCTGTCCAGCTGAGCCATCAGTCCACACCCAAGTCATCTCGTCTGGACATGCAGGTGTCACTGTACCGGTTGATGTACAGGGCGGTTCTGCGTTATCTGGTCCCACATTATTACATTTTCGATCCTAGGTGGGAGTGGGCATAGAAGTCTGGGTATGGTTATGCGGCTAGGGGGTTAATCCACTTTTTCGTCTTTGCATGCATTACAGGTTAATATCTGTGCTCTAGGTGTCAACTTGACCACAGAAGTCGCAGGCTGGGCTGGAAATTAACCCCATTTATGCTTATCTTCATTTGTGCAGACTCCTCCCGTCAATGGATTAGAGTAACTTTCGCTGTGACGGATGTTTCTCTTTCACAAATTTCTTGCGGATGCTAGTCGGCACAGCTCAAGTCACCAAAGTTTTTCCTGTTTTGAAATTGGTTTAAACACAATGATCCCACTGATTGATTAGGCATCTATTATTGAGGGAAGTTGTCTTGTATCAAGACCATTTCTTGCCTTGAAAGTCGATAAACTCCCATTGATTCGCAATCTTGAATTGCATCACGTCAGTTTCTTTTCAGGACTGCAACTGGTCCATAGCAATAGTGTGTTGATCTTATGGCTGTGCCCACAATAACCCCATGTGATGAACGTATTCTGGATAGGCTACCGAGAAGGAGCGGATGGATCGGATCATCATTTTTGTGGTAAATACCAATGGGTCTAGTTGGGGTAAGTTAAGCTAAGCCACTGCAGGACTTGATGTTTGTGTTACCTGAAAATCGTCCTGGCAACTCTGCTTCGCAAAAGCTGGAAATCATCAATGGGTATGGCATGGATTTCGCAAGCATAAAAGATTTTTGGGTAAACACTTACTTCTATAATGCAAGCTACTCAGAGTCCTCCATATTGATGTTGGTTACTTATTCAGTCTTGTCATCCAGCTGCTATCTATCACGATGGAGTTCAGTCGCAATGGCTCCTCGGTATCTTATGGTTGCTCCGAGATCTGTGGCTGATTGCTTTGCCGGTAAATTGGTTACTCGGCTAGGTGTTTGTCCTTCTTCCCAGAGTGCCAAACCCAGCTCTTTTTCTTATCCAAGGTTAATGCCAAATTTGGCAGAATTTTTCACTTCTTTGGATAGCTTCGTTTAGGCTTGCTCGTCTTCCGCCATTACTCCCAGTTGTCAACGTAGATCATGGCTGGGGAGGTGCGACTTGGTTTTGCGTTACAAACCAGTACCAGGTTATCCTATTAAAAGTGCAGCCACCACACTTATTGGGTCTCCTTCTGGTACTCCTGTAAGGCTTGTGTATGGTTGGGAGTAGTGGCCATTTATTACCACAATTTTTGCCAACTGGTTCAGCATGCTAACCCAGTTGTGTGCAGTTTCTATGGAAGGCCAAATGCTGAAAAGAGGTCTGGGATTATGATCGTTGTACCGTATTGAAAAATTTTGTCAATCGGTTACTGCTCCCATTAAAGGGTGGTCTGTGGCAATTGCATGTTCAATCTGCAGTTGGATACTAAACCATAGGTTCATGCACTGCGGTTCGGCATGGCACCTTGGATGGCTTTTGGTGCGATTATGCCAGTCGTGCGATGACCTTTTTGGCCCATGTTTTGGCTAGAGTCTCCACATCATGACAACACAGTAATGGGACGTGTCTGTGTCATCAGGCATGCATCTTTACATTTCGATGGTAATACCACTTTTGCGTAGGATAGCTCTGTCGGCCATGGTATTTTGCCTTTTAAAAAATTATTCCAGTGGGTGATCATTTTTCTAGTGGTCATCTGGGATTACTTTATATCTTGGATAGTCCAGTTGCAAGATCCTTTGGATGTTTTTGGGTTGATAGAGATTCCCCTGGATTGTGCAGTGATATTCATCAATAAATTAGGTGGTATAGTTCCTGAACTAATCATCAACCATTACTTTTGTCAATTATTATCACCATTGTTTTCAAAGTGAAAATATCCCTCAAGAATTGATGGATAAATCTAAAACAGATATTGATATGGAAATAGATGTTGAGGTCGGATAATCACCAACCAATTACAAATGTCGTTATGGATATTAACTGATGGATATTAATCCCTAAATCATCGTTTATAGATAATTGTCTAATAAATTTTCCATTTGCTTTTCATCTGTAATCACATTTATACATAATTGAAAATCCCCGTCTATAGGCGTTCTTTCCCATGATGTTTCCCGAACTCATCAACCAACCATTAACTGAGCTCTCCACCTGACAAAGCGTTTCCCAAATAAAGACATGGCCTGCGGCAAGGGAGATCAGCCAAAATATATGTTGGGAATATCAATTCTATGTATTGGTTGGGAAAATCTAAATAAGCTAAAAAATGATACAAATGTGTATATATATACACATTTATATACGTATGTATATATATGTGTGTGTGTGGGTAATATACTTGCATATATATATACACATACATGTATACATATACAAATACATTTGCATATACATATACATATACACATACACATACATTTGCATGTACATTTGCATGTACATATACATATGCATTTGCATGTACATTTGCATGTACATATACATTTACACATTACATATACATTTGCAAATACAATTACACATATACATATACATTTGCATATACATTTACATGTACATATACATATACATATCCAAATTACATATTACATATATTTCACGCATTACATATCACATATTGCATATTACACATTACATATTACATATTACATATGCATATACATATACATATAGCTGTTTTCAGTTGCATGGATTGCTGTGCTGCCAACTTGGACAATGTGGCCAACATAGTCATAAACCAATTTCTGGAAATTATTGTTGTCCATTATTCCCAAAATGGTAGAATAGCAATGCGTGCAACAAAAAGAGCCAAAAACAAACACAATCTGTTGGTCGCCTGGGCCTGACATGTTGACATCAATGTCCTATCATCATTATCACTACCATTGTCATGATCATCACCAACATTTTCCTCCTCATCGTCATTGTCATCGTCATCGTCACTGCAGTTTGTGGACCGTCCCCAAAAAAACAAATTTCACCCCATAGATTCAAAAGAACTGGTCGTTATCCAGATTGTAATACTACCCAATAAGCTATAAACTTACAATAATGGGATAGCATGCTTTGGGCACATCATAAATTCACCCAACGAAAGAATGAAAACTCAGTGAGCCTGCCACCTGGTCGTTGGATTCAGGGGTGCCTCTACATGCTCATCCTGGGAATGATGGGATGCACTGACCGTGGGGGCGGGGGGTGGCACAAAATAGTACATGCACGCATGGGTGTGTGTATATATATATATAATAATAATGTGTCTATATAGTGTGTGTGTGTATGTATATATATATATCTATTGTGTATATATATATATATATGTGTGTGTATATGTATGTATGTATGTATGTATGTATGTATGTATGTATGTATGTATGTATGTATGTATGTATGTATGTATGTATGTATGTATGTAGGTAGGTAGGTAGGTAGGTAGGTAGGTAGGTATGTATGTATGTATGTCTGTGTGTGTGTATGTATGTATGTATGTATGTATATATATATATGTGTAAATCTAAATATTTGTGTATATATATGTGTATATATATATGCAAATATATACTGCATATGTATATGTACAAACATACACACACATATATATATATATTTATTTATATACACTCATACTTTATACTGTACATCCATTGAAGCATGAAGATGTTAGTTTGGGCGGCCATCCTACGCGAATTCTCTCAAAGTGGAAAAAGCCTCAGTGGAACCACAAATGGACGGGTCCTGTTTAGGCTTCCCCCCATTTTCCAGCAAGGACTTCATCGAAGGAAGTTTAGAAGTCAAACTTCCGACAACATGGAGGGATGGAAAAGCAGAGGTGGGAACAGTCAGAGAAGAGAAGAGAGCAGAGAAGAGAAAGAGTGAGAAAGAGTGAGAAAGAGTGACAAAGAGTGACAAAGAGTGACAAAGAGTGACAAAGAGTGAAAAAGAGTGAAAAAGAGTGAGAAAGAGTGAGAAAGAGTGAGAAAGAGTGAGAAAGAGTGAGAAAGAGTGAGAAGAAAGAAGATGCAGGTAGAAAAGTGGCGATTCACTGTGTTTTTCCAAAGATTTGTAGGCTTGCAAAAGCGGCGAGTGCGGAGCCATCTGGCCAGATGAGAGATGAAAAATGGTCAGGGATAATTTTTGTTGATTCTATCCCCGTGGTTGAAAGTTGGAAAACGCCCTGGTGTTCCGATTCTTTCTTCCCTGAAGCCCGTACTTCTTTGGTTCCATTCCCATTCTTGTTGGTTGAATGCCCATTCTTGTTCATTCTATCTGGGCAAATTATCATGTTTCACTGACATGAAACTTGCAGCCAGCTATGGGGATGATTCCCGCAATCGAATTCCCATGATTCCAGGTTGGGTCACGATGTCATCGGTCACTCTTAAATTTGCCCAGATTCTATCCTCCGCGAGGCCATAGCACACAGCCAGGCCTTTTTTGGTGCTGGACCAAAATCTCGAGCCAAATTGGGCCAAGAGTAGGAGAGGGGAGATCTCTCTGGAGGAATTTCTGGATATATGGAGACCTCAAGATGTACCCTCTGGTTATGACTAACAGTTTGCCATGGAAAGATCCACCATTTTTAATAGGTAAACCATCTATAAATGGGCTATTTTCCATGGCTATGTTCAATAACCAGATGGTACATCTTGAATCATCTCGATATCACAACTGAGAGTTCTACTGAGATTGCACTGGGAAAATGATCCTGGGAAAAACAGACAGAGAATGGATATGCAAGCAACATCTGGAATTCTAGATGAAGCCTGTTTAACACTGGGAACGAGATCTGGTCACTGCTCAAACCACCCAAAATAGGAAACTTGCGGACTCCTGACAGTTGGTATGTCTTTGCACTTGCCAGGAGCTTGGAACTAAAGTAATCACGAGATTCCCCAACCTGAGCCACCAAGATTCCAAGAAGTTGAGCTGCGACCTCCGTTTTTGAACCGCCGCCTTTCACTGTACAACATGGCGAAAAAAGGTTAGCCCAGCTATTCAGCCCCAGACCTCCTTTAAGGACGGCTGGGTGTCTGAACCTGCTGACCTTGAAGTAGTGCCTCTGTTTTTTCAATTGGGAAAGGGAACAGTTTAGCAACAGATGACATCATTGTGGGGGTGATTTCCAAAATTCATCAAGCAGGGTAGATCTCTGGGGTTGACCTCAGCCCAACGCAGCATAGTCCATGGCGAGGCCCATGGCAGAAGCTTTCGCCTTGGCCATGCTCACCTTGGCGACTGCCTGCAGGGACCGTTGAACTCATTGTGGTTGACCCGGTCAAATGTGTGATCCACTGGCTGCCATATAGCAACCCAAAAAAATGAGAGACAATAAAACTTGATTTTAAAATAATGGCAAATGGCGGTTTTATCTTTTTGGGGTTACTGTAAACCAGGCCTAATTCACACAAATGTAAAGGAGGCTGGAAATAAATAACCAATCCCTTTTTGAAGCGGTTGGTATGTTTGATTTCAAAAAGCACTACTATTTGGGATAGGATAGGGTAGCATTGTGGATCCCACACATTTGTGGTTTCCTGTCATTGTTCCCTAAAAACACATCTGGGGTGCCACGATCAAATCACCATTTCAAATGATCATCAGCTTTTTAATGTCAACCCTGGACACATAAATCCCGGTTGATTTAAAATCTGGGTTGCCCCAAAAATATGAAATAATTTGCTGACCTAACGTGGTATCTCAAATTATACAGTAAAAGCCCAGGGTTGAATAAACATCTGGGGCTAATCGGGGGATTGCATTTTTTGGTGGGCAGAATGGCAATAGTTACAGTAGCAAGATTTAAGCACTAGTAATTAAACATCATAAAACCATAAGTAACCATCGGTATTGACAATAAGAATTTGCCTGGTTCCCTCATTGACAACACTCATTAAGAACATGCATAGCGTATCATATAGTATAGGCAGTATTAGCCATCAGTATCCCAGGATAATATCTCAAGAATCCGTATGTATGTGTAATGTATTTGTATTTGGTTATGCTAACCAGTTTCAACCATCATTAAGCATCATTACCCAGCAAAAATCGGGGAAATCCGAGAACTGTTATTTAAACCATGATTAACCCACGAAGAATGCTATCAAAACAGGCGTTCCAATGATTTTAGTTCAGCCTATCAGTTATCATTGACGATAGATAGGGGTTCCAACCATATGTATACATATATATATGTACATATATATATATATATAGATAGAGATAGAGACATCGATATCAACATCGACATAGATATTACATATTTCATAGTGGTAATGGAAAAAAAAAATATTACTATCATGATGGTTGCAAGGTGGTGCTCCCAATTGTGTTACCATAAACCCTACTTAGTTCAACCAACTTAGCTAGCATAAACCACCTATAAACCCATGTTTGTTGGTTTCTACTCACGTTCTGAATAGTTTTCACCCATTCACCCATACAACACCAGCATCCCAGTGTTCACAAATCCATTCTTAACCATTCACCAGCATCAACCACCAGCAATACACCCAATGGCAAGTGCTTCATGTTTCATTGGCCGGCCTTAGGCTTCGCCTTCGCCGCTCCAGTGATGGCTGCCCCAGCGCCTGCCAGTGGTTTCGAGGCACCACTGGCACCGCCCTTGCGCGCGGGCTCGGCCTTACTGCACTCCTCGGCTTCGAGCTGGACATGGGTGTCGGGGTTGGCTCATCTGAAATAGAATGCGTGCATGTTTAGATATTGATATATATATATATAGAGAGAGAGAGAAACAAAAACAAGACCTGTGGAACATAGAGTAACATACATCAACAAAACAAATGGTCTTGGCTTTGACCCATCACACAAACTTTGCAGTAAATTTGGATATATAAACTCTTCAGAGAATTTGGGCAATTCTATTTCTAGGTGTGCTCAACTCAGCATGCTTACCTACAAGTAACTGGAATGGTCACCCAAGGCCATGCTGTGATCATCCGAATCTCAAATTCCCTGAAGTGGCCCCAAAAAATCAATAGAAGCAATACTGAACCAGGGTTCTAGACCTGTGTTTAATATAAGTAATATAAGGGAGAAGAGATTTGCGTTGGTAAACATCCCGGCAAGTTAGCAATCCGTGCCAAAAACAATCGTGTTTGATGAACCGGTATTGCCTTGCTGCTTTCTTTGGGGGTCGAGCCACATGAAAACAGGCGATGTATCTTAGGCTTGTTTGACATTGTTGACAATCGCCTTAATCAAAGTGGTATACTCAATAAGAAACCATGCCCAATGACTTACAAGAAATCGGTGGTATAATACAAATCATCCCCAATTAGGTTTATTTTTGGGCCTACCACATCAATCTCTTCGTGTCCGCCGTCCTGGCATTTGATGGCCCCATCTGTTGTGGAGAAAGAGGCCTCAATCCAATGGTGATATTGGGGGACAAACGGATATATACTACACTCTGGTTATTTAACATAGCCATGGAAAATGGCTCATTTATAGATGATTTTCCCATTAAAACCTCCATTTATAAGGGATTTTCCATGGCTATGTTAAATAACCAGATGGTATATCGAAAAAAACAAGTGGAATTCCCAGTGGACATAGAACCCTAAAAAATGAACCCAACATGGCTGTATAAGCATCTTCTATTTCGGAGGGGTCTATCTTTGTTTGCAGGGGGCTACAAGAGGGAACTTCCTGTAAAGTTTTAGACTTTCTCACCGTTGGATGTCCTAGATTTCCTGAAAACTTGTCGATTTGAGTATATGGAAGGAACATAAAGGAACGCGGAAAGTTTGGAGGACCTCGATTGCTACAAACAACCAGCAGCAGAGGTTCATTCCCAGAGGTACGGTGGAACCTCTTCTTTTCATCTTTACTTGGAATCGTGTTCCACATAGACCACCATTTAATGGAGACAACACAGAGTGAGAGCGATGTGATTGAAGAATTTTAGATGTTCATTCACATCAACCATCTGAGGAACTACCCACATATATCCACATATCAAGCAGTTTCTCCAGTCCAACAGTATTTATATTCGGCATGTTTTTTAGCGTGTTTTTCGATCGGCCTTCCCAATGGATTTCTTGCAGGCGCTGCAGATCAGGCATTCCAGATGCAACTTCCCCAGGGCACAGGAGACCATGCTACCAGTGATGACTTTGCTACACGCCTGACATCACCATGCTGCCATGGTGCCATGGCAAAGGCAGATTTTTGGCAACTGAAATGGCCAGTTACTGGCTTCAACGTGGAAGATGACATGATTCTCCAATTTGGAGGTAAGTACTAGCTGCGGCTGGTGCCTCCATGTTCTTTGACAATCTGCAGAGAGGGTGTCTAAACCCCCTGGAATCCAAGATGATCACCATACCATTGCTTTCCATGACATTTGTGACATGTCAAAGAGTATCAGGAGACAGAGAAACTCAGATATCATGCAAAAGTTCTATCATGTTCTATCCAATATGAGGCTAGAAGTAAGTCCACCAACCAGCTGCCTTAACAAGTTGTACCCGGCTGCGGCCTTGCAAGTCTCACCAAACTTCTCGTAGAAACATGTTTTACCTTCGCATTGCCAATGACTCGCTGACAAAAAAGCAGCCCGCAAAACCCAACCATCCATCACAAATTGCTTAAATAAGCATTGGCTTGGTTATTTGGAGGTTTCCTGAAAATGGAGGTACCCCCAAATCATCCATTTTAGTAGGATTTTTCATTATAAACCAACCATTTTGGGATACCCACATTTATGGAAATCCCATGAAATCCCCATTTGTCAACCATCCAACCTGCAAATTTCATGGTCGATGATTTCGAAACATCGGTGGACTCTTCTCTGGTCTCGCTGCGATTTTTTGGGGTAACGCAGGAAATCATAGCCCTATGCACTGTTTGGTTTTTGTTGCTATTCCTATTCAAACAAAAAAAAAAATGGGTTGCATCAGTTGCTATTCAGCTGAGAATATCATAGAATATCGACCCACTCTTGATTTCATACCCATCAGTTGCTCTTTGTTTCGCTCTGGTGCAATAGGGCTGGCGCGCTTGCACCTTAAAGGCTCCACCAACCAAAGAGGTGGCACATGCCATGCACTTGAAGCACCCTGCGTGGAGTTTGCCTCCCACTTCCGCCACATCGACCACCTGCGAAGCCACTTGGGACTCGGATGTGCCAAGAACCGCAAGTGGAGGGTCAGATATGATAATTAACCTAATATTCTATGTATGTAGATGTCTACATATGTATATCATACGTGTGGCACCAGTATATTCTGGTTGATGGGTTACAATTCACTTGCAATTCCTGGGATGCACATCCAAGTATGAAAAAAAAGTGAAACAATGTAAAACAGTGTGAAACAACGTGAAACAACTTGACAGCGATGAAGTTCGCAAGTTGGAGCATCAAAAATCACGTGGTAAGATGTTCAATTCTTCATATGACATCTCATCAACTCCTCCTGTCACCTTAGCCGAAACTCCCCTATAAATCTTAAACACATCTACATCCCAAACCCTTCCAACTCCAACTCACCCCATCTCGACACCTTGCCACCTTTGATGGTTTCGCGACAAATGGGGCACTGGCCCAAGCTCCAGGCTGTCTCTACCTTGCTTTTGGCTGCAGCCATCGCTTCGGCACTCATCTTGAAGGGCCCACTTTCAACGCGAGCACCTCAAAAAAATCCGTGGACTGTGTGTCTCAAGACATTGCTCCAACTATGTGTTGCTGGAAGATCGTACTTGCTGCTTTATCCCTGGCATCCCAAACAAATCGCACGACACTTTTCCCATTCAGGGCCTAACCTTTCCCATCTCCCCAGCTGCCCACCCCGGCGCATCCCGCATCCCAGTGGCGCACAGCGTCAGCGTCGGGCTCCCAGCCCCGGGCAAATTCCATGGCAGCCATCTGCCCGAAAGTGCAATGAGGACCATACGCCACGCCCACCGTGTCGTAGCGAGGGTCCAGAACACCCTTGCGGTGGCCTGTTTTCTGGGAGGACGAATGGGAGAGTGAGAATGGGAGATGTTTGAGTTAAAGATGACGTATACTCGTATACTGTGTATGTATATATATATATACATACATCATATAATCTATGCGTATACACATGCATACGCACATATATATATATATATTACACATACACATACACATACGCCTAGACATGGACATGGACATAGACATAACCATATACACACATGCACATCATAAATACATCATATATACATCATATATACATGAGGTCGCGCGGGGGGAGGATCATGAGATGAGGACGGGGAAGAGGAATGTAGCTGAAACTTGCTCTGCTGATCTGCGATGAAGCCCATTTCACCCAGCGAAGGAAACAGCTGAGGATATATACATATAGATTATTCGAAAAAAATGTCTAATAGATGAAATAGATACATATACATTGTACAGCATATACAATACATACATACATACATACATACATACATACATACATACATACATACATACATACATATATATATAGTACTTGTGTATATATTATATACATTTATATACTAACTCGATAACTTTGGAAATACAGGTTACGCCCCCCCAACTCACCGTTACGGAGGTTTCCCCACACCTCGACTCGGCACCCCGTCATCCACGATCAAATCCAGGACGACACAGCGGGCGTCGGCTTTGTCCGAGCCATACCACAGGCATTCGCCAAAGGACCCGAAGTGGCCATAGCGTGAGGCACGTTCTCCCTGGAATTCAGCAACAGAAATGTGAAATCTTGTGAAATGTGAATGGTTTAGAAAACATAAAGTTTAGATATGGGGAAAAATCATCTATGGATATGTTAGTTGGAATTGTCCTAATATCTCATTGGTTATGTTTGTTGGTTTATGTTCAGCCCATTTTCAGAGTATAGATTAATATCTCCGATTTACCATAGATATTCATCAACTTAGCTAACGGGGATTTTTAGGGATGAAGTCCCACAACTGGGACAATCCCATCCATAGAATTGGGAGTGTGAATTGGCAATATCTATGGTGTGGCAATATGTGAGTGGCCCCAAATTACGCGCTGCCCGCAGTTTCGCAAATATGCAATGCAAAAAGGTCGAACGTGGGAATTCACAAACTGTTTGCCTTGTTCGAAATGGGGTACCCCACTGCCAAGAATTATTTTACTTCCAGCTCCAAGACAAAATGTTGCTCTTCTTGTTGCTCTTGTCCGATTCTCCAGCCGCGTATCGGGATCAAAACTACCAACCACCAAAAATGGTTTGATGAAGTGCCAGCAATAATCTAATTTCGTTTGTGTGAGTCCCCCGTACCCACTTGACTAAATTATACCTGGTTGTTCGGGTGCTCACGTTCATACCCTCTGGTAATTTAACATAGCTATTGAAATTGAGCATTTATAGTGGATTTACCCATTAAAAATGCTGGATCTTTCCATAGCTATGTTAGTTCACCAGAGGGTAATACGTTATATCCCTGGATATCCCTCGGTTTTTTTTCATGGTGCACCAAAAAACAGAACAAACGTCCGAGGCGCGGCCGAAGTGCCATCAGAGCTGCTGTGGGAGGCCGTGCCCGTCTGACCGATATCCCAGATGTGGTCCGCAGCGGCCAAGGCCAGACCCTGCTGCGACTCACTGCCGACGCCTTCCAGTTTCTCCTGGACATCGAAAGGCTAGCGAGGTGTCGTTGGGAAAATCATCGAAGTTAACTGATTTTCCAGCCACGGAATGTAAGAGAATGAGAACTTGAAAAAATAAGAGTGATAATAATGATGAAAATAGGAAAAAGAAGTACTATATTAGTATGGCGTCCGGAAAAGTCAAGACGACGATGACGATGTTGACGATGATGACGATGATGACGATGATGACGTTGACGATGATGGTGATGGTGATGATGATGGTGATGATGATGATGACAACGATGGCGATGCCGATGACGATGACATTGTATGGTTAATTGTTCCATGAGACCCGGGAATTCTGATTCCTTCGTAAAACCCTATAAGAAACCCTAATGACTGTATGATTAATTGTTCCATGGGGCCGGGCGATTTTGATATCTTCTTGAAACCCTATAAGAAACCCTAATGACTGTAGGATTTTGATATCTTCTTGGCCCTATAAGAAACCCTAATGACTGTATGATTAATTGTTCCATGGGGCCGGGCGATTTCGATATCTTCTTGAAACCCTATAAGAAACCCTAATGACTGTGGTTTTGATATTTCTTGGCCCTTAAGAAACCCTAATTACTGGTATGATTAATGTTCCATGGGGGCCCGTGGCCGTTTTTTGATATCTTCGTGGCAAACCCTATTAAGAAACCCAATGACTGTAGGAATTTTGGATATCTTCTTGACCTATAAGACAAACCCCTAATGACTGTAATATTAATGGTTCCATGGGGGCCGGGGCATTTCGATTATCCTTCTTAAAACCCTATAAGAAACCCTAATGACTTGTAGGAATTTTATATCTTTCTTGTCCTTAAGAAAACCCTAATGACTTGTAATGATTAATTGTTTCCATGGGGCCGGGGCCTTTCCGGATATTTTCTTGAAAGCCCTATAAGAAACCCTAAGGACTGTAGGCTTTTGATATCTTCTTGGCCCTAAAGCAAAAACCCTAATGACTGTAGATTCTTGTTCCATGGGGCCCTGGCGAATTTTGATACTTCCCTTGAAACCTATAAGAAACCCTAAATGACTGTAGGAATTTTGAGTATCTTCTTTGGAAACCATTAAGAAAACACCCTAAGACTGTATGATTAATTGTTCCATGGGGGCCGGGCGATTTCGATATCTTCGTGAAACCCTATAAAAAACCCTAATACTGTATGAATTTTTGATATCTTCTTGGCCCTATAAGAAACCCTAATGACTGTATGATTAATTGTTCCATGGGGCCGGGCGATTTTGATATCTTCTTGAAACCCTATAAGAAACCCTAATGACTGTAGGATTTTGATATCTTCTTGGACCTATAAGAAACCCTAATGACTGTATGATTAATTGTTCCATGGGGCCGGGGCATTTCGATATCTTCTTGAAACCCTATAAGAAACCCTAATGACTGTAGGATTTTGATATCTTCTTGGCCCTATAAGAAACCCTAATGACTGTATGATTAATTGTTCCATGGGGCCGCCGGGCGCTTTCGATATCTTCCTTTAACCCTATAAGAAAAAACCCTAATGACTGTAGGATTTTTGATATCTTCTTTGCCCCCTATAAGAAACCCTAATGACTGTATGGAGTAATTGTTCCATGGGGCCGGGGCATTTCGATATCTTCTTGAAACCCTATAAGAAACCCTAATGACTGTAGGATTTTGATATCTTCTTGGCCCTATAAGAAACCCTAATGACTGTATGATTAATTGTTCCATGGGGCCGGGCGATTTTGATATCTTCTTGAAACCCTATAAGAAACCCTAATGACTGTAGGATTTTGATATCTTCTTGGCCCTATAAGAAACCCTAATGACTGTATGATTAATTGTTCCATGGGGCCGGGCGATTTTGATATCTTCTTGAAACCCTATAAGAAACCCTAATGACTGTAGGATTTTGATATCTTCTTGGACCTATAAGAAACCCTAATGACTGTATGATTAATTGTTCCATGGGGCCGGGGCATTTCGATATCTTCTTGAAACCCTATAAGAAACCCTAAATGCGTAAGGATTTTTGATATCTTCTTGGCCCTATAAGACACCCTAAGACTGTATGATTAATTGTATCCACATTTCCACCACGGGGCAGGTGCATTTCGGATATCTTCTTGAAACCCTATAAGAAAACCCTAATGACTGTTGGAATTTTTATATCTTCTTGGCCCTTTAGAAACCTAATGACTGTATGATGTATTGTTTTTCATGGGGCCGGGCGATTCGATATCTTCTTGAAAACCCTATAAAAACCCCTAATGACTGTAGGACGAGAATGACAATGGAGTATCATTTATCAAGTACCGGGGTGTACGACCCGTTCTGGAACCCGGAGAACCGTAGGCGCCAGGTAGGACAACTGTGACCCCGAAATGAACTGTATGAGTAGTGTTTCCATGGGCCGGGCATTTCGATATCTTCTTGAAACCCTATAAGAAACCCTAATGACTGTAGGATTTTGATATCTTCTTGGCCCTATAAGAAACCCTAATGACTGTATGATTATTTTCCATGGGGCGGGGCATTTCGATATCTTCTTGAAACCCTATAAGAAACCCTAATGACTGTAGGATTTTGATATCTTCTTGGCCCTATAAGAAACCCTAATGACTGTATGATTAATTGTTCCATGGGGCCGGGCGATTTTGATATCTTCTTGAAACCCTATAAGAAACCCTAATGACTGTAGGATTTTGATATCTTCTTGGCCCTATAAGAAACCCTAATGACTGTATGATTAATTGTTCCATGGGGCCGGGGCATTTCGATATCTTCTTGAAACCCTATAAGAAACCCTAATGACTGTAGGATTTTGATATCTTCTTGGCCCTATAAGAAACCCTAATGACTGTATGATTAATTGTTCCATGGGGCCGGGGGATTTTGATATCTTCTTGAAACCCTATTTAAAAAATAGAACTAATGACTGCTTGGTTAATTTCATATGATATGTAGAAGCGACATGTTGTGGTTATATGATATGTAGAAGCAACTTGTTCTGGTTAACACCCTAGCAACATAATTAAACATAAAATCCTTCCCGTTGTTTGACGTCGTACAGAATTTCCTGGTGTTTACGCTATTCTGGGCTTGGGCAAACGTCAGGGTCTGTGTGTATTATTATATAGTAGTTTAACATGTTATAAACCAATGATCTTAACCTGACGGGGTTTAGTTTAGTTTGCATCAAATAGGGGCCCATCGATGTCCATCGTATCGTGATTCATCCGTCGGTCAACTCATTGTGACAGGCTTTTATCAACAGGCTAAGCCTCATGGGAAGGTTTCCTGCAAAAAAATATCAAGTTGTGTCTATTTGGCTTCAATACCATATAATGGCCAAGCGATGCCAAGGGTGGATTTTGGAGGTCCCAATAGCCCTGGACAGCCCTGGACAGCCCTGGAGGGGTGTTTCGCCCTTTCCAGCTGCATCTGGGCCAAAACACAAGACTCTTCACATAGTCAATGGCTTCTTGTACCACCGCGACACCTGACCACTGGGAATCTTCAGTCAACAGTGGTTTGATAGCAGTCATTTCTGTCGCGCTATAGCATGCACACGTTGCTCCACAACATGGTCTTCCCTGCCCACCTTCTTTGGTGACAACGCAAGCACCACCGCGTTCTGGAGGATAGTAGTCCTGGAGTCACAGTTTCAGTGGACGACGTGCCGCAGATCTCCAGTGAATTCGCGCCTTGCCGCGATAGTTCTTCAGCCTCTCCTCAAGAGCCTCGATAACTTCTTGTGGCCTGGTGGAAGAGATCCGACTGGAAATATCTCCATCAAGGGATAGATTGGTTGATTGGATCTAGATTATCTCTAGAGTAAATTAGACTTAGAATTTAGATTTCACTGAGATTGGGTTGGAGAGATAGTCAAACTTGATTAGGCACATGATTGCATTACTTAGATAATCAAAATGCAAAAGATAATTGAAACTTAAATGAACTACGTTAGATGGGTCAGTCAAGTTAGGTTGGATAATTTTAGATTACAGTAGACAATTCGATTGCATTTGATTTAATAAGTCACATTGGACAAACAAAATAGATTATTAACATAGATTGGATTAGATTGGTAGATGTTGTGCATATTATATATATATACCAATCTAAATACATGGCACGGGTCTGGATGTGCTGGACTGGATAAACCTATCATTTTGGGGATGGTTATTATGGTTATTTATACCCTATAAAAATGCTGATAACTCAGGTGTTTTAATGTGTTTTATAGGGTTTACCAAGATCAACATACTTCAAGCTGCAATGAATCGCTCGGGATCCCGAATCTTGGCGGTCAACCCAAGATGATGTCCCAGTGCAACAATGTCCCAGTCGTGATAAGGATAGTCATACAGTAGTTGAAAGAACAAGAAGAAGGAACAATTCAACCTGGGTGTCCATGGCTTAAAAAGAGTGTTGTGCATATGATAGAGGCAGCTTGGTTGGTGGTATCATGACACAAGCGGTTTCCAAGACCTCTGGCAATCGGGCGATGCAATTGCATCGCAGCGCTCAAAATCCTGTGTCATGTCATGAAATACTGGTTGGTTAAGAACGGAATTCCCAGTTCATGGATAGAGATCATCCCCAATATACTGGATACTACAATCCCAGAACTAATCATCAACCAACAGCAGGGGGTTTGAAAAACCCCACCGGACCCAGTCCGGTGCCACATGACACCCCGAAATCTGAACAATCCCAATTTTCGTGGTTAAACTGTTAAACCACCAGCTTTGTTGGGTAAAAAAACAACAAAGCTGTTGGAAAAAAACACAATGTGTGTTTTTTTGCTGTGTAAACCACCTTTTTCATCATTTTCTCAGAATCAAGGCTCACTACGTGCGAGATTTGGAGCGTTCTCAGGACGGGATACCACGGATGTCCCATCCCGCCTGGTTCGCGCCCAGGTCAACTCTTCTACAATCCTCTGCAGCGATTCGGCCCTCATGAAACATGGAAAAGGCTTCTTGGAATTCCCTTCTTTTTCGAGATCGAACCATGGCTAAATTCAGTATTTCTTAGCTATGAAAGGGGAATTCACAATTCGGACTTTCTGTTGGCATAACTCACCAACCTGGGAGCCTGAGTTGCGTTGGATGGTTCCCCTCATATTCACCACAACTCAACTCACATCCCGACTTGCCAGTGAGCCGAGTTTCTGCTGCTCCATCGACGCCTGAGAGCTTCTGGACAGTTCACCTGTGTCTTTTTCATGGGTGGGAAACTCGCTCTGGCGTGGTGAAAAAACAAAATTGCAGCTGAGTTGTAGTGGAGTATGGAGTTGTGGATGTTCATACGACCATTGGACTTGGGATGTCATTGACGACACGATCAAAGTGCTACCGGGACGCAGCAGTTTTCCGCGTCCTGTGGCGCAAGCTGGTAACGGTCTCGACTGATCTTGGATACCAGTTTCAAAAGTTAAAGAATTTGGGAAGTTTCAAGCAGACCGAGTTCTCTGTTAAACAAGTTTATATGTTTTAACCTGCCTCCACCAGAATCCAACGTCCGTGTTATCTCAATGTGGTAAACCCAAGCACTTTGACCTCCCTGGCTCTGTCTATGTCTGGATGTGTCTACAGCGACCCAAAGAGAGACGGTCTTACAGTTGGCATATTTTGTGTGTAATGAGTCTATACATTGTCTAATGTATATATATATGTATATTTTATAACTAACACGTATGTATATTGGATATGACGGAGAGATGCCTATCTAATCTATACATATCTTACTTTGATCTGGCACCGTCGATGGAAGCAGCTGCGGACGGCCCGCAGCGAATCTTCGACACGAGATGCGGGGGTGAATTATACGTCGCTAATCTCATTTCCTGATATCCGCAAGCCAACTACCACCAGTGATAGTTGATGTGTAGTCTTTCATATCCATGAAAATGACTCAATTAACACCACCAGGTTATGCCTTGGAGTGTTCATACTGTTCCTGTACCCGGCGGCCGCTTTTGAGCGACGCGCGGCCACTGACAGCACGACCGTTACCGCGCCCCGGCGGAGCGACTGGATGCGGCCGTCGTTTGCGGATGGTTTCATACGTTGATGTGGCAAACCCAACAATAAACGCAGATCCAATGGCTAACAGTTGCTGACCATTTTTAAGGTCCTTCTAAATTATACCAAATAGAGGTGCACCCAATGATGAAGCCAAATTTGGGATGGTTTAGCGTTGGGTTAACCGCACTAGGTGGACAGAAGCAACGAGGTGACTGCTGTTGTGAAGAGTGATGCATTTTTGGGGCAACCAGTTTGCAGGGTCACATCAAATTGGAAGCAAACGAAAAAGTAAAGGTTTCTGCCGTGTCCGTCTTTGCGTTCAAGAACGGCAATCACCCCATGGATCTTCAAATGCAGCCTTTACTGCATGCGCAAAATAGACTACCGACGTCAAAGTGCAAGATACACCCTGAACCAATACACATTTCGAGGTTCGTAATCGGGGTTTGTCTGAAAAAGGAGTAGCCAAAAATCTCATGGTGTTCTCATGATTTTCCCCATTCGGATAACAATATGTTTTTGACTAATCACCGATGTCTGGACAACCCCAATCAAATCCAATCAGCAGTATGGAGTATAGAATAGGGTCAGAGCCCATATTCCCCTTCATCTGCTCCGTCTCAGCAAAAGCTTGAGAACCTGCTCATTTTTACGCACAGGCACCGCCAAATGTCAGCATCTGAGAATTGCATTTCGTGTGCAAAGGCTACATAGGTATAAAATGATATTGATAAAGCTCAAAAATTGCTCCACTATTGTACATATACATACTGAAGGTCAAAACAGACAAAAAGGTCAAATACTTTACATCTCTTCAGGTGGTATACATTAAATATATATATATGTATCTATCTAAATTACATATATAATATATTGTATATATTCTATATATATACTATACTGTGTGTATACTACTGTATATAATATATACATATATAATATTTTAATACATATTATATTATATATACTTTATATATATGATATCATATATATATAATAAAGTATATAATATATAT